ACAGAGAGGAGGACCTTTAACTATAGAAGAGGCATCACAAGTAATTGATCAGATGGATGTTGATACGCAGGTAGCGGCCGAGTCGTCGAGAAGTGGTGGTCAAGGAAGTTCGGGTCGACCGAGGGTTTGGCACTGTGGGACTTGCGGCAAGGCTGGGCATAATGCAAGGACCTGTCAGGAGGTAATTGAGGTTAATATGGAAGAGTATAGTGACTGATTTTAATTGATCTAATAGGTTGTGGTGTTTTTATTGCTGATTTAATTGAGAAGGTTAGGATTTTTGGGACACTCGCTTATCTGGGACACTCGCTTATCAAATACGTTATTTCTTTGCTTTATTTTTCTATAAGACTCTGCACCTTTAAATGCTATTTCAATTTATGACTCGACCTAAGAATAAGCGATCCTTATACCCATGGCCTCGCTGAGCCCCAAGATAATAGATATGATCTCTCTTTGAGTTCTTTACCCTGCTGTAGCAGCTATCGGCCCTAATAATCTTCTTAAGCTATCGACCCGAATGTCGATTCGTCCTCTATATAATTTCTCTAATAGACCACGGTTTAAGCTTCGACACCTTCAATACATCTTTCATTACTACTTCGGGGCAGCGATGGTCACAAGGCCCTTCAGCACTTCTTCCAAGAGTGACAGAGGAAGACTATATGGCCAAAATCTCAGGGGAGACTGGTTTATTACATAATAACCTAATATCCAACTCCTTTACTAGCTACCAGGACCTCTGGAATGACAGCTGTTCAGCCGCCCTAAGCATGACTATATTGCCGGTTCTTGTGTTACAGCTTCCTATTGAAACCCCGTAAAACTAACTTTTATCCCTATCTCAGATCTCTACTGCTGCGTATGGGCATCGGAATGGAAGCGCTCCTCGACGTTAATTGAAGTTGCGACTCGAAAAGGTAGGCCGGGTTTCCCCTAGATATGATAAAACCAATATCCTAGTAGCAAATGCCAGAAGGAATTCGAAAATTTATCCCAGAAAGTAAGCTCCATGTACGTCGCGAGGCCTGTCATAATAACAAAGCTGCGAAGGCACTAAGAGGATTGGATACTCTCTATGAAGTTACATTTAGCCCTGAGTGGCTTTTGATACCCTATACCAGTACTATAAATGGCTGCAGGAGTCAGGGTAAGCGATCCAGCATGCTAATTAGTTTAAAAAAAGAAACGCATAGAGCATATTACCTACTTGTACTATCCACTACTTCTACCATTTACATGAATGAATCCTCAACTTCTTTAAATTTGGCTATAATTTCCCTGGTAGCTTGCAATGGCAGGGCTTCTACCGTGCGGCCCATATTGCCTGTCATTGTCTCAGCCATAGTGAGCGCATTATATATAGCCTCTTCCGTAGCATCCGCTGCTGCTTCAAAGAGGCCATTAATAGTCTGGTTGTCGGTTGCTTCTATGTTGATCAGCCCAGGCTTGAATGGATCAACGGCCCTGTGCTGGCCGGTGACTGTCTGCACGGGTATCTCGGCAGCTGTGGAAAACGCAAGAAATAGATCTCCCGAAGGGTTGTGAGCATAACTGCCCACACGCGCAAGGCCCATGGTCGCTCGCTTGGCCAACCGCTGGAGCTGGACAGGAAGAAGCGGCGCATCCGTGGCAAGTATGACGATGATGGACCCATCCTTTTTGTTCTTTGCCTGGTCGTACTCTGTATCATGAGCAGCGGCGGCCTTGCTGCTTGCGTTCCTCTTTTGCAGGATCCGTCCGACCGGGACGCCTGAGATGTGCAAATGCTGGAGTCTCCCATAGTTGGCCTGGACAAGGGCGGCAACCGTGTACGACGTCTCGTTTTCCCCAGCCACAATTCTACTGCTGGTCCCGGTGCCGCCTTTCCACCCTTGACACAGCATGCCTGTCCCGCCGCCCACGTTCCCCTCGGCAATCGGCTCCTCGGAAGCATTGGTGATACTGTCCACAACGTGTTCTGGCGTCACAGCAAACTGTCTCAGGTCGTTGAGGTGCCCGTCAAAGGTCTCGGCGACGACTGGCAGCAGGAACCAATCGACGCCCTGCTCACCTTTTCCGTAATGTTCGATTGCGTACTTGTAGATGCCGGTATAACATGGCCCTACGGCAAAGCTGTTGGTGATGAGGATGGGCGAGTGCAAGAGACCGCTTTCCTCGATCCAGTGTGTCCCAGTCATTTCTCCTGATCCGTTGAGACGGAAGACGCCGGCATGGCAGGCCGTGTGGAACCAGTCTTTCCGAGGGAGGATGGTCGTTAATCCCGTGTTAATTTGCCCACTCTCGTCACGGATAGTGGTCGTGTGGGCAAGGACACCGGGCACGTCTGTGATGCCATTTTTCGGACCAGGTGGCCAAAACCCAAGATGCGCTTCTGGTATAACATCGCGGAGCCTGCCGCGGGTTTGCTGATGGGACATACTCGTTGCCATTACTTTAGATATTCGTATTCTGTCGCTTTTCTGGTGGGATCCACTGGGTCACTATGCTAGTTTCAAAAACAGGAGGGTAATTACTCTACCCTATTTATAAAGCCAGGGCTTTAAAAACGAGATAGAGGATTTGCTGCGTTATTTTCTAGCTACTGGCAATGAGTCACGCCGATCCACTTATCTCCTGCTCATCTTACTGCTTGTAGTCAAAAAAGGAAGGTACTAAACTGGGTTTCCTAAGCTGCCGTGTAACGACAAGCTTATCAGCGGTCTACTATCGACAGCGAGTACGAGTGACTGGTGTTCCGGGAATTACTTACACTGTCCTTAACAATCTCTTGCTTAGCCTGCGGCGAATGTCAATATCTTTGCGAAGGAGATTAGGGTTCAAATAGCGAATGGAGATTGTGAAGTAAGAATAAATAAGTAAAAGCAGGGTAAATAAGGTATATATCAGAAAGTCTGCGGCTATGGCGTAGCCACAAGGTGTATATGCATCAGACCCAGACATATAGGCAATAAAAGGCTTCTTCAAGCCCGGCGCTGAACAAGTGGAATAAAAATATATTACGACCTGTTGAGCAAATCGCCTCTTTATCCCAACATTGCTATCACAAACATTTAACTTCTACTCCTTACACAATGGCTCCCCCAACTCCTTTGAATAGGCCTTGGGAACTGGGCCGTGTAAAAGCCTCTGGTCTTGCTTTGTAATGACACTTTCTCATTTCTCTCTGTGTACTTGAACCTCGTCCAGAAGGGTTCCCTAGACAAACCACTCCTCGTCTACAATCGTACTCAAAAACGATCTGACGACTTCTTAACCCACGTCGGCTCGGCCAATGCCAAGACGCCGACCTCATTGCACGAGGGTGTCAGGTCCTCTGACATTATTTTCTCCTGCTTGAGTTCAGACTCTGCCGTGCTAGATATATACTAATCCATGGCCAAACAAGGCGATGTCCGCGGGAAAGTATTTGCTGAATGTTCAACTATCTCGCCTGAATTAGTTGACAAGATCGCGAAATTGATGATTGATCATGGAGAATAGTTTGTTAGCAGGCCAGATATGTACATTATTCCAAGCAGAACTTGGCAGTGGTTCTTTATTGAACATATTCTTTTGCATAGTCTTTGGCCCGCCACAAATGGCCAATAGTGGTACACTCACATTTGCAACTGCTGGCGCCAAGTCATCAATCGAGAAGATACGCCCATACATCAAAGGTATCATGGGGCGTGATGAAATCTCTTTTGAAGACGAGCCATATAGTAACGCGGCGAAGTTCAAGCTCATCGGCAATGACTTCGCCCTGAACGCTATTACACAGCTTGCTGAATCCTTGACGCTGGCCGAAAAAATCGGGCATTAGTCCGGGGGTGGTCAAGAAGTTTGCTGACATCATGCACGGCGGAATCTACTCGGTTTATTCAGGTCGAATGCTTAGCGGCGAGTATTGGGCTAGGAGTGAGCCCTACGCCTTAGCCGACATGGTGTTGAAGGATATCAAGCACCTGTTGGGACTGGGCCAGGAAGCAAACATGGAGCTGAAGAATGCTCCGATTGGGCTCGCGTATCTCCAAAAAGCCATGAAAAGGTCACTTGAAGACCAGGTTGATGTCAGAGCAATCTACGGTGCCGTTCGTGAGGCGAATGGGCTTGAATTTGAGAATTAGGCTTAGATGTCGCTGGTAAGACCTAAGCTTAGGTCAAGATCAGAAGTGCATGGATTGATAAGAAGCCATATAACACTATTTAAGTAGAAAGTCTTGGATTATTTCCATTGCATCCTCTCGCATGTAGCCATGAAGCCGACTTTCTCTAATAATATATTGCAATACATATATCTTACATCTAAAGTTACGCATCAGGCTGGGTGCTAGTAGCTTTAATATAATTATTAACTTTGGCGTAACGATCCGAAAGTTGGACTGGCTTGCGTGGCGCGCGCTTTAGTGGCAAATCTCAGCAAATCACTCTGTGTGGCGGCTCACCGGGGACTCAATCGAACGGCGGAAGTTACTAGCAACGAATACTTCCTATACGGTCAAAACGGCGCATAGTATTTGAGACTAATAGTAACATGACACCGTACCAAAGATATCTAATCCCTTATGAGAGGCTATTCCATTCCAATCAGCAGTGCGTCCCGGACTGCCATAGGCTTGATGTCCGGATATTTAGCGTTCAAGGACTTGTTGTGTTGGATATCAAACTGTCCATTAACGGCCCAAATACCAAGGATGGCCAAGAGCTGTTTGGCAATAGCCTCTGGGAACGGGGATGCGACGAATTCGGCCTTGTGTGAGGGTAGCTCACTGACCGCACCACGCTGGAGTGATTCGACCGAGTCATAAGTCACCTCAAAGGGCTGTCCTGGCTATCAAGACTTAGCATCGTACTGTTCGATTCTGGGGTTTAGAACCCATTAGTTACCTGAAACTTCTTCGGCAATTTTGAGGAAACTGTTCCATGTGTTCCTCTCCCCGTAACAAACAGTCAATTCCTCCCATTCCGTTTCATCCAGGAAAGCAGCCACGAATTTGGTCACATCATATGTGTAAGTGAAGAATATGGGCTCGTCGCCTGTCCCAGGGATAGCGGCCTTCTTGTGCGGAATATCAAGTGCAAAGGTCAGCATGGGGAGATGCGTCGTGATGTTGGGCAGGCCATAGTAGTCTAGAAAGAAGCCGACGGCAAATCGAGTCCATTCGAGATTGGTTCGACGGAGCTGCTCAATGGAGGCTGCCTGGAAAGCGGCGACAGGCGACCTATCATGGGACGTTAGCTGAAGGGCTCATACATATCGCGACACTGGGAGAATACTCTTCGTTGGGAAGGGAACCCCAAGCGCTGACGATAAACCTCTTTACAGTTAAGAGCTGTCTGAAGCGCGGATGAGGTTGACCTGTGCGAAGGAGGCAGTTTCATCCGTAATCTGGATGGTGCAGATAAGAGTATGGGCGTTGTGGTGCTTCAAGATCTGGGACAGTGCTTCAACATTGTCATAGTCAACCTTGATATAAACTGCAGAGGCAGGAAGGCCCGAGGTGTCCTGACAAGCCTAGGGTGAAGAGATCGTTAGATGAGGTTAACAAACGAAAATACGGAAGCTCACCTTGCGTCCAAGCACCAGGACTTTAAATGACTGGGACTGAGCGAGGGATTCAACGATGGGGCTGCCCACATGGCCAGTGCCACCTGCGACGGCAACGACCCTCATGATATGGGTGAAGAGAGGGAAATAAGCTTACTGAGCTGTGATGACCGGTTTTGATGAAAATGAAGAAGTAATATCAGCGAGAGACAGGGACGAGCAATTATTTATTACATGAGATAGCAGAAATTTATAATTTTAACAGCAACTCAACTTATAAGCAGATAAGATATTTTCTGCCTCCTCGCCTAAAGGGGGAAGCGCGCGTCCTCTATGCATTGTTATAGTATAAACGCAAAAGAACGTTAGCTCACCCTATATTGCTGGAAGCGAGGGTCAGAGCGGTAAAGCGTTTAACTCTAAATACTTCTAAGTAGCAAACCGGACATACCATGCACCACTTTCTTGATTGATCCATGGCCCCAGCTTAATCATCTCCTCTGCAAAAACAGGCGTTTTGTTCGCATCTTCATGAAGCTAGAGGGTTGTCAGTACCATTCTGTGGCTAAATAACTGGATACAATACCTCAATACTTTCCCAGCCAAGGAGATAGATTGCAAGCTTCCGATCTTTCGATTCTAGGCGACTGCCTCGAGAACCAGGTAAAACATCGCGCTCCCCCCCTACAAGGTTGGTATTGAGTGTGTAACCCCAGTTACCTCCAGTGAATCCCTGCATTCGGTAACAGTCGGTGTAAGTCTTACGCATGGAGTGGCTCAGAGGTAGTTCCCTGATAGGCGCGTCTTTGTTCATCCTCATTGTGACCTCGTAAAGTTAGCGGCCACCAGCCTTGATGATGAAAAAACAAGAGGATTTAGGAAACCAACGATTTCGCAGACAGGGGCTGTCAGACCTGCCATGAGCTCTTTATCGTCATTGTTTGCCACGTCTACAAGTAGACTTGATGGATCCTTCTGGGACAGTTCCGCGAAAGCCCGTTCAAGGTGAGGTTTCTCGAGGAGTTCAGGGCCGACTGGCCATCCTGGTAGATTACTCGTCAGCGACTCTGTGATGAAGTTGAGACTTGGTTAAAATACGGACGGATGATCCAGGTAATCTCGTGTCTCTCCTTGGGCAACGGAGCAACGAGAGTCTGAACGGAATACCCGAAATACTGGTGAGTCGCTCCAGCCAAGGCAACTTGTTTCCGGAGGTCCGTGAAAGCTTGACCTGAAATGGTCAATGAAGGCAGTAAGTTGAATCGCAAAATCTGCAAAAGCATTGTTGCAAGTAGTGGGACGATATAAAGATTGTAAATGGGCTACGAGTTGGCACTCCAGTATTCGACAGATGGGAATGATAATTAAGCTTGATTCAATGAATTTATAGGCTTCACAGTTCACAGTTTTATCATGATCCATGAAGCGCTCTAACGTGAACGAGCACTTGGACTAGCTAGTTAGCTCTCCTCTAGATCAATTCCATAATTTCCATTGGCAAAGGCCATTGTTAAACGCACGCCTTTCCCAATTGGGGCAGCGCGCGCCCAGAAGTCGACCCAGTTCTTTCTGGACATTGTTTGCTCCACTCAAGTTCTCGATTTAATATGACTCCAAACTCGATTTCCATCACTTCAAACCAGGTGACCCATTGAGACTTTGCTTGTTTGCCCAAGCCGCGTCGTTTACACCGTATTATCAGTACAGGACTGTCTCATGTCCGCCCCCGCCTGCTGGACCTGCCGCTTACGGCGCAAGAAGTGTGATAGGACCCGACCCGCCTGCAGAGGCTGTTCCGACCTCTCTATCGACTGCCACTACAGTTCAGAGCGGCCGGACTGGATGGATGGAGGGGATAAGCAAACTCAAATGGCGCAATCGATCAAGGCTCGGGTCAGGCAGGGTGCTACATCTCGGCGCGCAAAGGGCTTTGCCGTCCAAGTGCAGCCTCTTCAACAGGGCTACAGCTCAAAAGCGATCAGGCTGCATGAGACCACCTCACTAGAAACTTTACCCCCTTTTGAGGAACTCGATACGGGGGTGTCCAGCGACGATACCACCACATCTGCTGGAGCGGCCCATTCCACTAACCAACAGGAGACCGATGACTTCCTGACAAGCCTGTACCTCGACACCGTATTTCCCCATCTTTTCCCTCTCTATCGCCCTGCGAGTTTGGCAGGTGGCCGCGTCTGGCTGCTCAAAGCTATCCAAGAACAACCTGCAATCCATCATACTGTCATCAGCATCAGTGCATACTACTTCACTCTGCTCCTAGCGCGAGATGCAAGCCAGACTCTGCGCACTCCCTGTGAACAACACGTCTGGGATACTCTGGCATTGCATATGGACTCTTCTCTCAGAATAATTCAGGAAGAAATGACCGCATTCAACAAAGTCTGCCCGTCGTCTGGCAAGGAGGACGTTCTCAAACAGGCTCGTTTACTAGGGGCCATCGTTCAGCAGCTGATCTTTGACACGGCCATGGCGCAGGGTGCTGCTTGGAACTTGCATCTCACAGCGGCCTTGGGCCTATTCCGCGACATTATCGAGACACACGGTCAAAGAGACGGGTTCTTGGACCTTGACGCAGTTCTGCAAGCCATAGCGCCTAGGAGTTCAATGTTTAATGGCATACACCTCGACTTTGCGCCCTGGTCTCAAGACCAGAATGCCTTTCAGTTCTTTGCGGCTTTTCTGATATATGCAGACGTCATATCAGGTGTCATGAGTGGAACTACACCGAAGCTTCAAACATACCATGGAATGCTGATAGCTAACGAAACTGCGTGCGATAGCCGTCAAGTGCTGGCTCTGAAGACAGAAGATTACATCGGATGTCCCGGGTGGATCCTGACTGTTCTTGGCAAGATCTCGGCTATAGATGCTTCGCAAAACGCTACAGGAGAGCGAGAAAGACAGGAAATCGTAGAACTTAAAGTCAAGCTCCAAGTTGGCCTAGTGGACACGCAAGAGAACCTGCAAACAGACCAGGGCCAACAAGTTGCAGAGGCATGGATGCACGGCGCAATGCTCTACCTTATTATCGTCGAACAAGGGCGTCGGCCCTTACACACTGAAACGAAACATCACGTACAGTCTATTGCAAAAATGGTTGCAGGGCCGCTCTCTCTGCGCAGCATCATGTGGCCATTCTTCATGGCTGGCGTCTTAGCAGGGCAAGAGGATGAGACCATTTTAACCGAGGCTGTCTTGAAGTTGGGCCCTCTCAAAGCATTTGGCTCTGCGAAGGAAGCTCTAAATCTGTTGGAGCGGGCTTGGCTGGCGCGTGATGAGACTCCACAGGATGATTGGCGGCTTTCGGATTGTTTTGGCGGCGAGGACAGGCACGGGTTACTTGTCTGAGTATGATAAGCTTTATTATTGCCTCCTAAGTTGGAGTCTATAGAAGTGCTGATAAATATGGTCTATACTTGGCTATGTTTATTGGGATCAGGGCAGTAGTTGCGATCCGCTGCAGGGAGGGTCACGCTTGTGTACGTGATCCTGGGTGAGCTTCCTCGTGAAACAGAACGTGACTCCGTTGCTTCTGGTTGCCATTGCTCGCCTCAACCCTTTTTGTTCCGACTCTTGGAAGAAACAAGTGGCCGGCAATTATGTGTCTGCTTTTGCCCACCAGTACTAAGCCCTACCTGGGATGAACATCGAGCTGGTCAATCACGCAATGAATAAATGCCAATGAGGATACGGTGTAAGCCCCAATGCAGCCTTAATAGCAATCCCTTGCACCCTGTTATCCGAGTGCGAAAGCGCGTGTGAAGTCGGATGTAGCGAGAAACGATGTAGCAAGCATTATCTTGTTTTCGGAATAAGAAAAAAAGATTGCCATGATTGCTAATGAAGATGACATACTACTGGCTATTAGGATGTGCCTGTGTCACAAATGGACAAACATTGATCCGATACCGTGGTACAGTCATGTAGGTGCCTTACGTTGGATCATACCCTTGGTCCTGTTCTCCCATCATCACATTCCTACTGTCCACCATACCAAAACATTCTGCCTCAATACCCCTAGAGAGAAGAATCAGAGAGAATTGGCGTCAACTCCACGATGGCCGCACCCAAGGTCTTGATAATGATGAGCGACGCGGGCCACGATCCCACGGGTAAGCTGATCAACGAGTCGCCCTGGGATTAGTACAAGCTGACAGAACCCGCAGAGACGGCCGTCCCCTATGCTGCTTTTAAAGAAGCAGGTTTTACAGTCCGATTCGCTACAGGAACTGGAAAGATCCCAGAATGTGATAAGATGATGATGGAAGGCGTTACAGGGAAACTTCTGGTGTGTTTGCGACCCCGTCTTCAAACCCTTGGCCCAATTCTTACCATTAATACTATTAGGGAGCAACAGCTGCTGTGGTAAATCAATACAAGGCCATGCTAGAGTCAGACGAGGCTCGACATCCACTATCATGGGCTGCGCCTGGCTTCTCGCTCGACGAGTATAACCTCGTTCTCTTACCTGGCGGACACGACAAGGCTGTGCGACAAATCATCGACTCCAAGGAAGTGCACAATCTCATGCTTGACTACTTCCCCAAGACAAAGAAGCCGAGCAACAAGGCCGTAGGTGCCATCTGTCATGGCGTCATGGTGCTGTCATCTGCTAAAGGCAGCGATGGTAAGAGCGTGATCCACGAGTGTACCACAACTACACTGCCTGGATTGTTTGAGAGCTCTGTATACTGGGCTACTAGGGCGTTTCTGGGTGATTATTACAAAACATATGGCGCTGGTAGCGAGAACACGGAAGATTCTGTGAGTTCTGGCACTAGATTGTGCATGTTGGATAAGCACGCTGACTCACTCTCCTAGGTCCGCAGTAGCCTTGCTGATGATAGTAAGCAGTTTAAGGGAAGCAATAGTTTTAATCCGTACGTTGGTCCCAAGGCAGCCTCCAGTAATTGCGCTCTTCTAATTGACCAATACAGCTTTGTTGTCAGTGATAACGAGTATAATTATATCTCTGCAAGATGGCCCGGCGATGCAGACCTATTCGCCAAAACTTTGGTAGATCTTGTGCGGGAGTCGCAATAGAAGTGTTATGGTATACTTTCTTTACGAGCTTCGACTTCTGGAAACAGTGAGGATAAGGTAATGGCAATATCACAAGTTTGTTTTATGAAAGACGTTGGCGCTAGCAAAGCCAGAGTATCTAGGTCATCAATGTGACAGCCAAAGACCATAGGATTCGCTTGGTTCTGGCCTCGAAATTTCCTTTTTGGGGTGATAGTGGTAAATCAACTCTATCTTAATCTCACGCATCTAAGACATCCAGCATGTCCAAGCCGCAAGGTTGTCCGATATATGTCTCCCACAGTTCATCAAATGGGAAAGGCATATCGAGACTATCAACCCTTGGGCCCTCATGTCCCGATGTATCATAATCCAGTGGGGTTACATCTTCTGTATATGTAGAGACGGTTGTAGAGGGCGACCAGATGCCATATGTCACCAGCAACTGCGTCAGCACATCCAGTAACTTCGCAGCCATCTTCGAATGACCTTTGACATTGTCCAGCTTCTTCAGAACCTCCATCAGCTCAGATAATTGAGTCTGACCATCCTGGTTGCAACAGATATCAGTAGTAAGAACAAGTGCCCCGATAAACATGTGGAATATGGTGCCCTGGATCTTCATGAAATCAGCAGAGTGCGACATGTCTGTCATGCTCATGCCACGCTGGGAAGAAAGAACAACTCGACCAGCCCTGAGGCTCGCTTGACGCGAAAATGCATGTAGAGTCTTATTGACGCGTCCGGGAAGATATGGGAAATGCAGTCCGCAGCGGAAAATGTTGATGAGAAGGTTGATCAAGAGTCGCTGCATCGGAATGTGGGGATAGCTTTGGTCAATCTGTTTAGTCTCCTCAGACTCTGCCAATTCAGCCTTGAAGAAATTCGGTAGCTCGCATAGCAATGACTCCAGTTTTGCATCAAGTGTGAGGATTAGCTCACACGATGCTTCGCCTGGATCATGCGGCATTAGATCAGAAATGCAGCGAACTATTTCGGCGACCTTGATTCGCTGGATGTTGTAGGACATGGTGGTTGGTTCTGAGAGGGGCCACTCCTTGTACTCGGGGTTGTTAACATCAGTATCGTTGATGTGTTTTGGGAGGTTGGTACTAATAAGGTTCGGTTGGATGAGGTAAGTAGCCCCAGACGTTCCTGCGTTAAGTCAGCAACTCATCTAATATCTTCAATCATGAGCATTCACCCTCTGCCTTTGAAGATGCCCAGTCTGTGGCAGCGAGATACCACCAAACCCTCCTCTTTATCTCCTGTGTCACTGGGTCCCCATCAACCTTTGAATGGCCCCGTCTAACAGGCACCCGGTCAACAACATGCAGTCCAAGGCTATGAGAAACAGCAATAGCTTCAGCAAGCAAGACACGATACCGAGGAGAAAATGTTTCCGTGTGATGGATGCCAAAGCTGAGGAGGATCAATGCTTGTACGTTCTCAAGGGTATGGTCCGCCCTTCGACGATGTTGCTCTAGACAGTCCATCGCCATTCGAATGTAGGCGGCAAATAACACCAGCCTTTGCTTGAGTATTGGGATACCTGAAGTTAAGTTACCATCCACAGGCTCAAGGATCGTCGCCAAGGCAATGACGGATAATATCAAGGCGAGCCCTTGAGGTGCAGTTGTTGCAGAAATATTGACAATCTGGTCATATGCCTCGTTTATGAGAATACGTGCGTGGGGTTCGTAGATGATGTTCTGGACATGGCCCAAGTATTGGAAGTATACTTGAAACAGGCGCATTGTCTCCCACTTGGGAGGAAGTTGTATGTGGCGAGGTTCGATTGTCTTCTGAGATTTGTAGTCTGCTGAGATTGATATACTAAGCTCGTGCGTGAGCGCGCGATGCTTACAGATGTTAAAATAAAGAGCAATGTGCAGAATGATTATTATAAAACCTACCAAGAAGCTATCATTGACCGAGTATTTGGTGGCTTGCATTTGATCTTCAGGAGGCATCGACTCAGCAACGTTATTGGAAGCGCGTTCTTGGGTTTGCGGGACGGTGGGAACATTGAATCGAATGGCGTTGAGCTGGTTACTAATTGGGGTCGGTATAGAGACATGTTTGGTCCTTTTATCTGGGCTGAGATAAGTTTCGATTTGATCTAGTCTCGAGAGAATGCCCGACAGTGCTGAAGAGTCTGCCTCTTGAGATAATGCTCTTTTGACCGCCCGGCCAGGATGCGGCAACGCTTGCTCTGTGCACTCAACCGACCGAGCAATACAATTCGCACATGGCTGCTGCCGATCGCATTTCAGCTTTCGCTGGCGACATGAGAGACATGCGTTTCTTTGGGTGCCTGGTGTCATTGTGGTTGTACTCAGCATTCAGTTGTTCGGATCCGCGGATCCGTCAAGATCAGAAGCCTCAATTCAGCGAGCGGTTAATTATCGGGCTATGAGGAGGACGAATCATATCCTTGGATCTCGACCCGGGTCTGGTCCGGTCCGGTCCGTGGACACTGGACATCTCGGATCCGTCCTAGAGATTGTATTATTGGATTCGGTATTTATAACAATGCTCAAAGCGTCAAAGAGTTCAATATTCCAGACAATACAGTACCCTTCTCATACTCCATTCCTGAAGTCAAGATATCTTGCTACCAAGTCACATCATAACCACCAACATGCCCGACATTGACTTTAGTGCTCTGGCGGCTGCTGCCGATTTCGACAACTTCCGCCAGGCTCCGACACTAGACGTTCTCGCCAATGATGCCCTCCTTTCTCCCAACTCCAGGTTGGAACAAGCCCTCGCCAATTCAGAAGCCAAGGGCCTTCCTCCCATCAGCGTCACCCCAATGTCTGGCCAGCATCTTTCTATCCTTACTCAACTCATGGGCGCCAAGTCGGTGCTAGAAATCGGTACACTTGGTGGATACGCAGCTATCTGCTTTGCTCAAGGCGGTGCGAAAGTAACAAGCATTGAGATCGACCCTAAGCATCGCGACGTCGCACTTGAGAATGTTGCAGGTCTTGATGTAGAGGTCCTTCTTGGAGCTGCGCTTGATGTACTACCCAAGCTCGTGGAGGAGAAGCGGCAGTTTGATATGGTCTTCATCGATGCTGAGTTTGAGGACCATATCGAGCATTTCGACTGGGCTGTCAAATTGACCCGGCCCGGAGGGTGTGTTTTCTTCGACGACGTGGTGCCGGCCATGTTCAAGAATGGCGAGGTAAAACCAGGAGTGGATTCTATCTTGACGCATATTGGAAAGGACCACAGGGTCAAGGCTGCACTGATGCCCAATGTGGCGTGTCACCCCATGTTGCCCACGCCTATCTTTAATGGCTTCGTATTGGCTCTAGTCAAAGAGCACTGATCAAGATGGCAATGAAGCTCGCTGCGACAAGTACCATGGTTGACATTGCAATATACATTCTTACCGCTCTTCTACATTTGTATCTTCTATTTGAAATATGTAATAATGCTTCAAGGCTTGAAGTGACAACCTGGCTAGCGTTAGCTCTCCCACCTTAAATCAGACCATTCTAGTCCCAAAGCCTGTAGGAATTATTCCTGGTATGTGGGTTCATTATAGTGAGCACCTGGACCTCGAGCGAGGCCGAGAATATGCCTAGCCGCCTTGAGCCTTACCCTTTTCAGCGTTCTCGTAATCAGCTATCCAAGCCACATTCCTTCAGGAGGCATCCTACGAGACAATGCTGCGTTTCACAGCCCTAACCCGGACACTTAAGACCTTCATATAAAGTGTTAGCGATCCAGAAAATGACAAACAATTTACCGATCCTCAATTCACATTGTGCAATTACCTTTTGTAACTTGCAGGCTTGAATAGTCGCCTTGTGCTCGAGCCGGGTTATGCGACTTTTATAAAGCTGTGACCTCAGCTACACCGGAAAAGCTTTTCTCCTGCCGCCCAAGTCTGCTTTGCCGAGTTCCGTTCAGCTCAGTAAGCGCTATAAATAAGCAGTATCAATACGAAATTAACTCTCGCAACCTCCTCACCTGATCCTTTTCAAGGCCGCAAAAGATGGCCTCTAACCTCTATCCTCACAGGGGCTTTATGCTGGACACAGGCCGAAAGTTCTTTCCCGTCAAAGCCATTCTTCACTTGTTGACCTTGCTTCACCAATACAACTTCAATGTCTTTCATTGGCATATCTACGACGCGGAAAGTTTTCCTCTGCTTTGGCCGGCAGGCGAGGGCTTGACGAATGCAAGTGTCAAGTACAGCCAGACTCACACATACTATACGCCCAGCGATATTCAGAATGTGATATCGTATGCCGAGAACCTGGGAATTCTTGTGTATCCAGAGACAGACATGCCTGGTCATAGTGATATCTGGTATTTCATACGATACCCCCGCTTCAGCGTTGCTGCATCATCTAACGGCACTCTACTAGGGGAATATGGAAAAAGGACTTGGTAGTAGGAAAGCCAAGCTTGAAAAAGCCGGACGCCCAGCTCGACATTAGGCAGAACAACAAACTAGTGTATGATTATATCCGCAGCTTGGTATCAACCGTCGATGGTTATTTTGGCTCACCTTACCATCACTTTGGCGGCGATGAAGTGGCATACATGTGGAACACCAAAGACGATAACAAATTATTCAACACGTTTTTGAACTGGCTCAAGACTCTCACTCCAAAGAAATCGGTCATCTTATGGGACGATCCTCTCACCGACTCGGAAAAGAGTATCACCCTATCAAAGGACTGGATCATTCAAACCTGGCATAAAGGGACCACTCAAAAGATACTCAAAAAGGGACACCGGGTTATCGTTTCTGAGTCCGACACATTCTATATCGGAAACGCAGATGCTGACAAGATATCCTCTTTTGTATTCCCAAAGGACTCCAAGGTCTTGGGATTCGAAGTGGCGTGGTTCACCTCACAGGATGATGATCCGAGTGATTTGGATCAAGATTGGATTATCGAACCCTTGAAAGCTGCATCTAAGATCCGGAGAAAGTAGGCAAGGAAAAGGCGCATGCGAACCTCAAAGGGCCGAACTGTACGAGCTAGATGAAGTGGCACTGAGTCCCAAATGGCTCAAAGTTTAACTATGATGATCAGAATCTCCAATCTTATCTATTTACAACGAAGCAATTCCGTTCTTTACCAATGACTTCACACCGTCCTCGGATCTTATTATAGCTAAGGAATAAATCGTCTTTTAAACAAAGCCGGTGGTTTCTCTTTTATACAGTGGGGGGCAATAAGTATGAATACCCTTTGGTGTACTGACACACACCTCTTAGCCTAAAACAAGCTATGTTGACTCCTAATCCTGGTTAGAGGTTTTCCCTAACCAATTAGTATAAGAGATAGCTATGTGTGAGGTTAATATACACACTCTAGCTGTTAAAATGGGCTAGCGGCAGAAAACAATACACGCCCGGTATTCATACTTATTGCCTCCCACTGTATCTTTAACTGGCGCTTTAAAAACCAGGTCCAGCATTATAACACATTCTCCTTGACGCGGCCGCCCCGAATAATAGGGGCCGAGCGCGCGGGTTGTGGCCCACTTCCCGCACGCTCACCATTTGTCTACTGCCATTAAGTGCTGCAGCGAGCCGAGATATCCACTAGGCCTTTATAACTATTACATGAGACTACCATTGGATTGTCTCGGTTGATATGCATATCATGCCTAGTACTAATATTCTTGCTCTTGTGCTGACTCCAACATCTTCTGAAAGATACTCCCGAGAAGGATTATACGTGCAGTTATCTTACCTCGTCTTGTCTCTTCTGGTCCCGAAAGGAAACACGTGTTAAGCCTGGTTGGGGTACCTCGACCGATAGGAGATCCGTGAGTTGTGGACTTTAGTAGTAGATAGATGGCAAAATGCCGGACCTAGACACGTTGGGAATAGGAACCGAATAGGCCAAACTTAATCGTCGAGTCGCGCGCGCGCTTGCTTAGTCACCTCCCTTATCGATTCATATATATCTGACTTTACTCAACGAACAACGAGCGTTCTGGCCATGGTTCGGGACGATAATTGCACCGATACTATACTTTTCGTCGAGATGAGGCCGCACGGAGGCTCTGTTTGCAAGTTGGAAGCACGAATGGCTCTGTCGCCTTGAGTATATATACACAGCTGGGGACTTGAGTTTGCAGATTTGATCATCACCATTCACAGCGTTCAAGTTTCACAATGCGTCTGCTATCGCTTCCTTCAACTCTCCTGCTCGCTGCGAACGCAGCGGCGTATGACACCCTCCTCCACTTCGGCCCGACAGCTCAGGTAGAGACGCGTTCTATCGACCAGATTTACAAAGCTGCTCTCAAAAAGGGCGGCGTCGTGACAGCCTGGTTCGGCGGTGATGAGAAGAACCAAGAAGACGCAGTCAAGAAGGCTTTTGAGACAGCCTTTCCTGGCATGAAGCTTAATCTCACTGTTGACCTATCTAAATATCTTGATGGCAACATCGACCAACAGCTCGCTAACAACAACGTCTATGTTGATACAGTCGCTCTGCAGACCACGCAAGACTTTCCACGATGGAAAGATGAGGGCGCGCTACTTTACTATGCCCCTGCTGGTTTTGATAAGATATATTCTGGCTTGAAGGATATTGATGCTGCCTTCTACGGATACACTGGTATTGCGTGGCAGCTCATCTGGAATGCCAATAAGTTGAAGGGCAAAGAGGCGCCGGCAGAATACAGCGACTTCCTTGCGCCGGAGTACAAGGGCAAACTTGCTTTGACATATCCCAATGACGACGATTCAATCCTGTTCCTGTTCGACCAAATGTAAGTGCCATCAATCAGCACATGAACGTAGACTAACATCGATAGCCTCAACAAGTACGGCGAGACTTGGTTCACCAAGCTTCTCCAGCAGAAGCCTCGCTGGGTGCGCGGAGCAGCCACCCCCCAGACACTTGTCCGCGACCCCAAGACACCTTACGCCGCAACCTTCACCTCAGCCATGGGCCTGACAACTGGCGCCGGCTCTCTCAACGCTACATATCCCAAGAAGAGCAACTTCATCTCGTGGGCACAGCACACTGCTATTCTCAAGGACGCGCCGCACCCCGAGGGAGCTAAATTGCTGCAGAACTTCTTACTGAGCAAGGACTTCCAGAAGACCAACGGGTTCTGGCCTGTCAGAATTGATGTCGCTCCGCCGGCCGGGTTTCCTCAGTTTATCAATCAACTGAACACCGATCCGCATAATTTCATGAAGTTCATGAGTGACCCAGAGAGAGTTGAGAGGTTGAGATTCTGGTTCGAGAAGAGACTTGGTACTGCCCAAGGTCTCAGCCCACTGGATGATGATTTGTAGACGTTTTTTGAGGGGCTGTTTATTCGTTTTATCTTTCTTTTATTTATATAGTATTATTATCTGCTTCATAAGACCTCCCTTCAATTAAATTCGTCTTGGCAGCATTTGCATGCCAGGACATTATCCACGAGTACAGCATCAACCTCATAAAAAGATTCTCACGTAGTATACCAAGATGTTCTTAGAAATGTACGTTCTAGCCAGCGTCTTGCTTCTGGCTACAGTCGCTCAATCATCGGGTGAAGCTTCTTTTTGTGGCTGGCAAGTGCCTGCATAACATATCGATTGGCCACCAGTCCCTCACCCAAAAGTATAGCTGATACGAGAGCCATCCCACCGCCTCGACCTGATAACAGTGTGAGATAATGTGCAGAATCTCCAAGCATAAAAAATCGCCCCTTCGACTACAGTGATAATTTGACCGTTGGAAGACTGTCGATGATGGGCAGGAAACCACCATTTTCTGCGAGATCGATGACCTCGGCTATCTTGGTTGGACCATAAGCGGCCACTGTGTGAAGGGGGCCAAACTTGAGACCTCGGTTCTGTTGGTCGGTAAGGTCATCGCGCCAGATATAGAGCCCTACGATCCGATCGTCTCGCAAGCTATAGAGTACGTCTACATGGTCTGGGCTGTTGAAGGACATGCATCTCAAGGCGAGTGGCTGTTTTGCCCCGATGCTATAGACCGCATAAGAGTTAACTTCCTCTATACTATGCTCCTAGTCAGCTACTACTTCAGCACCAAGACCGCTACACAAATTCCATTAGTTTATAAATTTTCGACAGCGATTATAGGGATCATGACAGGGTTGGCCGTCTCATAGGTCCGACTGGCCATGCCCTTAATTCTTAGAGAAGTTGTGGTCGTTTTCGTCGGTCATGGTATATTAATTTACCTTTATAACAGCTGTATAATGATATACCAGAGAGTGTTAACTTTGGATGCGCGGTGTCAGAACTTGTAGAATGAGAACTATTAATAAACTAGATTCTATATAATATGGCAAAACATATCAGGCTCTTAATGTAGTAGTAAGTGTTTGCCTCTGTTCTCTTAGTAAGCGCACTTGTTCATCTATCCAGATAGAGAGCAATTGCTCTACACTGACACTTCCCACATTCTGAGGATGAGTTACAGCATGATAGCTGTCTACGAATGATTGCCACATCCTCTGAAACTCTGGATCGGGGAATTGGAGAGCTGAAGGATCGTCCCCTTCGTGAAGGCGGAACCATTCCAAGGCGAGGCGGATATGGTAGGCGGTAGTCCAAGTTACCGTAGTAATGCTGAAGACTGTTCCGACCCCAGCCAGTTAACAATTGTGAGTTCAAAGCATGAAGAAAACGATCTCGTACCTGTTTTGAACCTGCCCCTCTCAGAAACGAGTTCTCTTTTCTTTCTGTAACTATCCCAAGCCCATTTCGCACTACTAAAGGCAACACCAGACGCAATGACAGGTACAATAAGGGTGCCAGCAACAGCAGCAGCAGCAGCGGAGCCAGTAGTAGCGCTAACAGTAACACTAGAAAGGCTAAGCCAGAGGGATCCCAGGGCGACTATCCCGCCCTTGACTGCATCGTTTTGCTTTTGAATTGAGGCACTCATTACCTCATGGAGGAGGTCCTCTCTCAAAACAAGGACACTGGAAGCCGCATTTGACATCTTGCAAAGGCTATTGCACACAAAGTGCATCCAGCCCATATCCCGAAGCGACATGTGCCCTGTAGGTGCTATTAGGTTAAAGAAGCTGGTTAGCGGGGACTCTTTCAGAATACATGAAATCACTAACATTGAACTGTCCCAAAGCGGTTTAGGACCTCATCGTAGGTCTGGACGAAATGCTGGATGCAAAAATCGAACTTTTCCTTCTCCTCACGTAAAGACTCACCTGCTGACGTCCTTTGCTTAAGGAAGTTAGTGATTCATAATCCACATCAGCCGACAGGGATTCCTTACAGAGAAAAAGGTGAAGACAACCCCAACAGTCGGGAGGACTCTCTGGATGAAATTTGGTAGGTCAAATGTCTCTGCTAAGTCAAGATTATAGAAATGTTGCATAAGGTGAAAGCAATCATGTAGCCCGGCTAAAGCCGCAAATGCGAAAACCATAAAGCTATAATGTCTGTGTCAGTTGAAAGGAAGCAGTATACAATAAATGAACTGTTTAAGGACTTGTCTAAGGTGGCAAGACTTACGTAGGGTTGAGATAGGGTCGGCTTTCTCTTATAATGTCCTCCGCCAAACTCGAGAATACGCGAGGACCTTCTGAAAGAATCTTATTAAAGAAAGAAGCTGTCCAATAGGCTCGAAAGATATCAGAGAGTGGTATGATACCCCAGATGGATCTTGGCGTCAGATTTTCGACGAAGAGTTGTTTGCCTTCGGTCCCGGTAGTCATCATGGACTTGCAGAGAGTTCGGATAGCAACCTCCAAAGTCATGTTTTGTTGAACCGCAACTGCGGAAAGTCGAAGTCGAACCTAATAAATTATGTTAAACCTTTGCCTGAAGTAACTGTAATATAGGGATATCATGTTTGCCTGCCATATATACCTTTACAATGCGGGTGCTATCCTCAGCCTCTATGCTGAATTCGTCTAGAGCTACTAAGCGTGAAATCTTGGCTAGATAGAACACCAAATCATCGTGGTATTCGCTGTCAGCATCAATTCGAGGCTCGCAAATTTTGAAATGGAAGCCTTTCGCGTCTTCGTGTTCATCTAGCCAGTCTATGGCATCCAAAGCAGTGGGCTTGACGAGGCTTTTAATTTTATCATTAGATGGTCCCATTTTGGTTAGTTGAGGATAATAGGCTTGGGAGCTTATGTAGTCTGCGCAGCGTCGTTTTGACCTTTATAGCACAAATACAATCCAGGAGCTGTGACTTGCACAAGAACTGAGGCCTGCCACCAAAAGGCTGATTGGACGGTGGGAGACGTTGGCCATGTAAGCTGGGGTTGAAACTGCAAGGTCCTACATGAGGGTGCCCTGGGGGAATAGATCTTATTGGATGAACGAAGCTACTGACGATTAGATTTGTCTAGTTGCTGCAATATGACTCCGTGGGCGGTTTGAGGCCTTCGAGTGCATTTTACTTCTGTTTTACCAATACCTCAGATAATAGCATAGCTGAACGCCTAAGAGTATTAGATTAGTTGGACGTTCTGCTTCCTTGCTACTTGCTCTGATGTTTATCCTTTGGCAGCCAGAGGGGATTATTCGCGGCCGTTGTTATTTTTCACTGTCAATTTCAGTATTGTCGGGAGTGACGATAACTAAGAAAGCCTAACCGCTCTTACCTTTTTGTTGCTTAGGGTCAAATTTCGCTTCGCAATAGAAGAATGGAGCATACTGAGCACCAGCGAGCACTTTATTCTGGAACCCGCCTCGAGCAGGTTTTCTCAGTCCCCCCAGCGCTCAACGCCGATGATTTGAGAATTTCCGTACTTGCTAAGCTCAAGCGGTATAGCGAGTTACAGATGCTAGATGAGAATGAAGGTGTGCATCAGAGGGCCACGGAAAGATCTTCCTTGTTTAGTATGCTGTCTTTAAGAAACTCACTGACAGCACCCAGTGAGACAGAATTGCCCTGATAACTATGCCATTCAACTCCTTATGGCTCAGAGATCTTTACTCAAAGATGTTCGAGACTTGTCTCTGTTGGCGGAGAAGGCCAGCGTCCAGATACGATCTCGGCACTGGAGGAATTCGCTAATCCATACTTCATTGTATTATTCCCACTCTTTTCAGTTTTTTGAGCATGTTTGTATCAGACAACCAGCTAACAAACGTTTGCATTAGAGCATTTCTCAGCCATGCTCTATGTACATCGGCGATCTCTGCCCTATCTACAAATTTGTCTAATACCTGGTCCGCATGTCGCCATCGACCTGGGCAAGTCCTGTGTTCCTCCTGTTTTATGCCGATGCCGAGAATTCTATTCCATATCCTCCCCTGGTTTGGATATCCCATTGCATTGTACCGCATTGCGACTTTCCAGACGGCAATCAACGAGACGGCGAGATTGAAAGAGAGCCTGGAGAAGATGGAAAAGGACGTGGAGAACGGGTTTATTATTAGAAATATCTCTTGCTTGGAGGCTAATACCTGGAAATATATTGCCTGGGGCGGAGTAAGACAGTAAGGAGACCAAGAAGCCACAGAAGATCTAGATTATCCAATAGACCTGCGACGTGGCCGCCCGCCAATGAAATAGCAACACGTATTAAGTAATAATTGCAGTGTATCAGCCCTTTGCAGATATTGATTCTGATGAACTACTTCGCCATGGCATAGGAATTACCGACTGGAGGCGGGAAGCTACTTTTGCCAGCGCTGGCGATGATGACTTTAACAAGGCCATGTCACGATCCAGTCCGGAGGATCGGAATACGCAATTATCCTTCATTGCTCAAGGGAAGGCCACCAAAGGGGCATCAATAGCTCAGCCTACCACTCCTCAACTTTAACAACCCATCTGTGATCAATATGAGATGAGATTGCTTCGACTTCATCCGGGCACTGGGACCGACAAGCTCCGTGGCACCCTACTTCACTGTTCAGTCAAGCCTGTCCTACGGACTGAGAAGTTTTGTAGATGAGCTGTTTCTATGGATGACCTCTAAACAGGAATCTGCTATACAGCCCTAAGCTATTCCTGGGGAGCACAAAGGTTCGATGCTTGCATTGAGTGCGATGGACATGAGAAGCAGATTACCAAATCCCTCGAAGGTGCACTTCGGCAACTTCGTCATCCAGATCATGCCGTTATTTTGTGGATTAACCAGATATGTATTAACCAAAGGGATAACGGAGAAAAGGAAAAACAGATACCTCTCATGGAACACATTTATGCTCGGTCCATGAATACGGTGATATGGCTAGGAGAAGGCACTGCTGAGTCAGATATCGCCATGGGGTTCCTCGAAAGAATCAACAAATACCTACGGTTCTCATTTGGAAATATTAGTGCCGATGAATTCGAGACGTTAGGACTTCCACACAAGGACTCTCGTGCATGGGTCGCGCTTTGGGATCCACTCTGTCGAAAGTGGTTTACAAGAGTGTGGGTCATTCAAGAAACCCTTCTACCACGTGGCAGAACACTCTGGGTCGCTTGTGGTAAGAGCATTCTGCTTTGGGACGTTCTCAATCATGCTTGCATTCACCTAGTAGAGAATGGGATTTCTCTATGGATGGAGAGACTACCTATCACTCAATACAGCAGAGGGGTAGATGTTTGCAGAAGAAGCTTGGACCTGGGTTCACTGAGAACCGGGATCTGTGGACGCAGCTGGCTCCCTCAGCATTTTCGAACTATTGTGCAGGACGCGCAATGCCATGTGCTATGACCCAAGGGATAAGGTATACAGGCTTTTGGGGGTTTGCAGGGAATCAGAAAGAGCGACTGTGAAAGTTAGCTATGCTGACAATTGCACTGCTGCGACTTTATACCGGGACCTTGCGGCACGATTTATCGGTGATCAACCTCATAGAGTTGGAACAGGTCTGGCCTACGCCGATCACGACTCCACGGAATTGCCGTCTTGGGTCCCAGATTGGACGGCGAACAGTCGAGCGATTCTTTTGGCGGCCTCGTGGGGACAAGGCATCTATAGTGCTTGTGGAGGGTGGGGCGGTAATCTTCTTCATGATCTCGATGCTCGAGATAGGGGCCAACTCTGTGTGAAAGGGCTGCTCGTCGATAGTATCATCAGAACAAGCGACATTTTCGCCTTTCCAGAGATTTCATATATTGATCCTGATTCAACAAACATTACTCTGCTCGACGCCATTAGCTTTACATCGCTGATCAAAGATTACAAACTCGGCGAGGCATCCTTTACTGAACTTTGGCATACCCGTGTTGCAGGAAAGAATGGAAATGGACTACAGAAATCTCCCTCAGACTTTGCCGAGATCTTGAGTCTGCTGCTTGATGAAACAACTGGGCTTTCAGAGACCCTGCCAGGACAAGCGGATTCAGTCAAGCAGACACCACCTAAGGGGAATGGTAGATTAAAGCTCGCGAATTTATCGCGTCGAAAGTCAGGGGCAACATTCCAAGAGATACGTGTTGCATTTAAAAGGGCATTGACGAATAGACGATTAGGAATCACCAAGAATGAACGTTTTGGGCTATTTTCTCAGAGGGCCAGGGGAGGAGATGGTATATATGTGTTTGAAGATTGTACTGCCACTTATATCATGGTACCTGCGCAGGATAATAGCTTGAGGTTTGTCGGGAAGTGTTATGTCTATGGGATAATGCAGGGAGAGGGATTAAAGGGTGATGGAAACAGCATGGGGAATATTATTATAGTGTAAAATCTAAAATGAGTTCCTTGTTTTCACTTCTGTAACATCGTGTTTAGCAGACCATTAGAAACCCCGGAGATGATATATAACACACTCGACCAGCCTTGTGTGCTAGAATGGATTCCCTCGTGTCGCTTTGCATAAGACTATAAATTAGCACGGCCACAACCCTGGACGTGGGTAGCACGCGATACTTGAATTAACTATTTGTGTACCCCTACCGATGAATAGAATACATTGGATGGCTATTTCCCTAACCATTCGCCTTGGAGCTAATGAATTGCGAGGGAATCATGACTGGGAGGTTCTGTTGTAATGCCCGTACTTATATAATACCAGTTCTAAGACGAGGACGAAGATAACTTTAGCAGTGGGTTCTTAATGATGAAAAAAAGAAAGAATGGTGCGAGTTATATATATAAATAAGTGACTTACAGCCTGGGAATTTATAGGTAAATAAAAGTAACAGGAGGATATAATCCACAGTTAATGCCTTCTTATTGAACCTCGACATATTCATCGGGCCGAGATCGGCAAAATGTGACTTGGATCAGTTGTCCGGCCACAATAAAGGGTCCCGGCCCCGAGACTTGAATGTGGGTCGCTTGCTCTACCGAGCGTTTATTATTGGGTTTTAGTGGGGCTTATAGGTAAAGAAAAGAGGGGCATTGGTGCCTGGTGAATTCGAGTAAACACCGATGCATACTCTGTTATTTCTTCATCTGCCGTGTTTTCCGATTTTTGGCTTCTGGTCAAGATTTTACTAATAGTATAGAGTTTTAATTTGCTTAAGAAGTAAAGAGCCAAGCATGGGTAGGTGGATATAAGAGTTACATACTTTACTATGAAAATAATTAGTTCGACAGTATATATAGGAGTCTATATCCCGACTCTATTAACAGATAAGAAATCAAGAAACAGTTAATTCTATATTACACCAACATCTACTATGATACTTCCAAACTATCATCTCGCTTATTATCCTGCTGCTTCTCTTGTTTACTCAAAACTGCCCATTCTTACCAACAAACCGTCCTGCTGTCCACTGTGTTCAGACCGCTCAGCAGAGATCTCGAGTAACCATGTCTGAAGTTCGAGATGGGAACGCAGGTCAACAAGACTTGGATGCCTTGGAGCGAAGCGAGAAGCCATCTGGAGATGAAGTTAGGCCTGATCAGAAGTCAGAGCAACAGGTTGATGAGAACTTAGTGACGTGGGATACACCCGAGGACCCAAAGAACCCAAAGAATTGGACCATGAAGAAGAAATGGACTGCGCTCATCTGTGGTATGCTGCTGGTCTCTCCCAATTTTAAGCCCTGCGTCATTCATCATCTTTCACCATCGTCTCGGTCTCTCAACTGCGCAACACTACAAATACCCTCTATCGTCATGCAACATAATTAACATAATTTAGTCTCCTTATTCACGTTTATCTCTCCTCTCACATCTACCATGGTCGCGCCGGCACTCGCCTCCATCGGCGAAACTCTTCATATTGACTCATCTCTCGAACTCGCCCTCACCCTCTCCATCTTCGTAGCCGCCTACGCAGTCGGCCCACTCTTCTGGGGCCCAATCTCAGAGCTTCGAGGCCGAGTCATTGTCTTGCAAGTCTCCAACCTACGGTTCCTTTGCTTTAATCTCGGCTGTGCCCTGTCTCAGAACAAGAGCAGCATGGTCGCCTTCCGTTTCTTGGCAGGCTTTGGGGGCTCTGCTCCGTTGGCGGTGGGGAGTGGGACCATCTCGGACATGTTCCAGCCAGAAGAGCGAGGAAGGGCTATCTCTGTGTACTCTGTGGCTCCTCTGCTTGGACCGGCTCTTGGACCTATAGGAGGAGGGTGGATTGCAGAGAGAACAACCTGGCGTTGGGTGTTCTACTCCACGACTATCGCATGTGGCTTCGTCCAAGTCGCGGCTCTGCTTTTCCTGAAAGAAACATATGCGCCAGTGATACTTGAGCGGAAGAAGAAGCATTTGATCAAAGAGACAGGGAACACGGAGCTATACACAGCATACGACCACCCAGATAGGACATTCTCAAGAACACTTCGAATCGTCTTAACTCGCCCATTCCGCCTTCTCTTCACCCAACCCATCGTCATGTTCCTCGCTGCCTACATGACCTACCTCTACGGAACCATGTACCTTGTCTTGAGTACCTTCTCGGGCCTATTCGAAAAGTTATATCACGAAACCCCCGGCTACCAAGGGCTGAACTATATCTCCCTCGCATTAGGCCTCTTCATCGGCACACACATCTGCGCGCGCTCCCAAGATCGCATCTATAGAGCTCTCAAGCGTCAACGCTGCAAGGAAGGCCAGCCAGGACGCCCAGAGTTCCGCGTACCAATGATGGTCCCCGGCGCGATACTAATTCCTATCGGCTTGTTGATATACTCTTGGACAGCGGAGAGCAAAACACACTGGATCGGCCCCAACATTGGCGCATGCATCTACACCACAGGGCTTATCATGGGATACCAGTGTATACAGGGATACTTGGTTGATTCATATGCGCAGTATGCTGCTTCAGCGGTGGCGGCCGCCACGGTGACGAGAAGCCTGGCGGGATTTGGGTTTCCTTTATTTGCGGCAGATATGTATGATAGTTTGGGGTATGGATGGGGAGGGACGTTACTTGCTGAAGTGGCGATTCTGCTGGGGTGGCCGGCGCCTGTGACATTGTGGTTATATGGGGCCAAGATGAGCGCGAAGAGTAAGTTTGCGAGGTGATGAAGTACATAGAGTGTGTGTAAGCCAGTTCAATATGTCAGTAAGATAGATCAATGTAACCAATTAAGATAATAAGACAATTATTAAAAAGAAGTACTTAGGGAAGGTTTATATCATTAGGTAATTAACAATATAATATATATAATAAGGCCAGGTATAGTATAAGGACCTATTAAGTAGTAATTAAGGCATCTAGGGAAGAGTATAATAAGTAACTTTATTTAATTAGATAGTTTATAATAGGTTTAAATTAATCACTCGTTAAAGGGTTTAGAAAAGTGCAGTATATACTTATATACGGCGCATGCTTATTAAACATATTATATTGTAATTCATATATGGCTAACAATTTTCCCATAAGCACTTCTACTTAGATAATAAACCTCAGGCCTGTCAAACTTCCAAAAGTCCCCCTACCCTCTTACCCAAATTGCAGCATACATATCTTCATCAGAACCCAATGTATACCCACTTACCAGTCGCAGCCGATATCCTTTACCCGTCCATTCATCAAACTCATTTTGGTAGTTAGCCGATGACATGCGATGTCTGGAAACCCAAGGGCCACTTGGTGATTTGTCCCAGATCGCAGCATAAAAGTCTATGTTATTGACCACGTACCCATTTACATGGACAGTGCGATAACCCATGGCCACGTACTTATCAGAAAGCTTCTGATAATCAGAAGATGTCATGCCGTGGTGTGCAGCCCATGTGATATTAGTCGCCGACTTCTCCCACAGTGCTGCGTATCTGGCCTGATCCCCTTGCGCGTAGCCGCTGACATGCTTCAGTCGGTAGCCTTGCGAGAAAAAGGTATTAAACGCGTTTTGGTATTCAGACGAGGTCAAATCATGTCTAGCGACCCAAGCGGGGCCCCCAGACTTATCCCAGATGGCAGCGAATCGAGTATCTCCGGCGACAGGATATCCGTCGACAAGACGGAGGCGGAAGCCCTTACTAACGAGAGCATCGAACTGACCCTGATACTCGGTAGACGTCATGCCGTGCCTCGCAACCCAATCCGAGGTAGGGCTTTGGTCCCAAATCGCTGCAAAACGCGGGTTGCCGTTGATAGTATAGCCGCTAACATAGGTAAGGTGATACTTATTATGAACCATCTTGTCGAAGGTGTCTTGGAAATTAGATGAATCCATTCGGTGTTTAGCCTGCCAAGGCACAGAATCTCGAGGATTGATAGAACGGTGTGCACCTGCGCCATCGGATGTAATTGGCGTAGCTTCCGAGGGAGAGCTCATGACGACCATGAGGATAAATGCCCATGTGGCAGCGCATCGGAAAGGAGTCATGATTGTGGTGCTCAGAATAGCATTAGAGATTAAATTCTGAGGAGTAATAGAGGGCTAGAAATAGATACCTGAGCTGTTCGATAACTAACCTAAATTAACTCTCTTGCCGAAGTCACTGTTTCGATGGTGAAGGAAAAGAAACAATTTTATCAAGATGACTTATAGATTCCAGTCTGAGAATTCGGAATACAGAAACAACGCAGAGACAAGTGTCCTCCATTGTGCATATTGTGAGCTTATTTATGCTAGAACTCCAGGCCCTGACTCAGGCTAGACAGGGTTACAGAGTCTGGCTATGTTTAGATGTAAAAGAATCAACTATGGATCGATAAGTGTAATTTTGGATTCTATTTCTACTCCAGGATACAAAGCGGGCGTTCTTGGATGTTTGAAGGCCAATTGTGTTTGCTCAAGGGGGCTGAGCATTAAGTCTAAGAATATCTGCGAATGGGATCTTGAAACAAACATGGGTGCAGCTGAACTCCGTACAATTTCGGAGAAAGATAACCTGTATATAGCCCATTCTAATTGTTTTGCCGGGCTCTCGACTTATATTTAAGGAAACTATTATTTATAGCCTTACCCTAGCTGCTTTTAGTTAAATAAGGGATATCTCCGTATATTGTCGGACTAAGGACTTAGATGCCAGTAAAATATTCTATTAATATTACGGTAAATTATTATTTTAACTATATACTATAAGAAAGTCCTTAGTTAATTAGGAGGGTGTTTTCCGGCTTACTAGGAGGTCTCGGGTTACTGTGCTTTTTAAGTGCCTTATATGCTAAAGACTATATTAAGTAATAAGAAGATTGGTAATAAATAACATTTGCGGCATACTATTTTTATCTCAATCTTGACTAGTTATGTGACTAACACCATTGTAGGGAACATTCGAAACACAGACTGCGAAAGTAATATCTGGCATCCTGAGCCTGTTATTAACCAAATCCGAAGCACCCTCCACAAACGAAAGTCGAGCAACCATTGTTGCAAATCAAGAAAATGCCATCGCAATGCACATCAGCCGGCTTCGGAGAACAGGGGGGGCCACCGCCGCCATTACACTCACAGAGTCTCTTCTTCCCAGAGACACAATAGCCACCGTCTCCCCAATCACTTCTCCCTGCCTCGTGCCATCCAGAAGGGCATGGTTCTGGATCGCAGAATGGCGCTGTCCCACTCCAGAAAGCTGCGCAGCCAGGGTTGTCGATGCATTCGCAGTAAACCTTGTGTCCAGTTGCACAGCAATGTCCGTCACCGCAATCGTCGCTTCTCGTCTGGCGCATGCCTGTAGGGCACTCTCCATCGCAAAATGGTGCCGTGCCATACCAGCCGGGCGAACACGCCAGGACCCGGCCTAGAATGGTGTATCAGATTTTACCTTATGTGCAGACAAAGATTCCTGCTTACCAATGCCGAGAAGACTAAACAGCATGAAAAACTGCTGCATTATAGGAGCAAGGAAAGATTTACGGCTTAAGTCAGTATGGAAGATCTACAGGGAGGTTTTCTCATATTTATAACCTATACTATATTAATACACACTATCTAGTCCTGTTTTTGTTATAAATACTTATAATTAATAGGCTAAGAGTATTATATTTTACCTCTCTTTGAACTATAATTAGAGTAGCTTTAATACTAAATTATAAATATTGAGCTATTTAAAACTAGTTATATATTACTGGTTTCTTAATATAACCTTTTGCAAGGCTTAGGCTTTTTTAATCTATAATTAGATAATTATTTTTAAATATAAATATTTATAGTATCTATTAAAGAGCTAACACTGGGCTGGGGGATACCAACTTGGCAGCCTTATAATAATAACTCTGAAATCACTGCATAAGGCCGCTATTTTAGAGATAAAGTATATAGAAGCCAGGGTAACCTGCTATTTAATAGATACCCTCTCTTATTTATATTATATACTAAACATAGTTAGAAAGTGCCTTTTACTAAATGCCTACCAGATATAAAGTAACCAAGGCTATATTTATATATAGGTTATACTTTTACATATTAACTATTCCCTCCCTTATTAATAGACTTTAAATACAATTACATTTTATTTTATTATACTATAAGTATCATTTTAGCTGGTCTTCCGCAATTAATCGGCGTCTAGATCAAATTGGGAGTGTCTTTGGATCGCTGATCTGGGACATACCTGATTACACCTGAGCTCCGATATCTTAAGGAGGAAACGTTACAATGATGCAGAGTTGCGTCGTCGCTGCATGTGAAATGAGAACACGCAGCGAAGTTGGACAACAATTGGCCAGATTTGCGCATGCGCCGGAAATACTCGAAAGCTCATAAGTCACGCGTATCTTTGTCTCGATTTGTGCGTGATGCTGTAGTACGATAAGGTTAGTGTGACCATCACTCACAAGCTTGAGTTCATCGAAAATTATCCAGGAATTCCCAATTTGCCCCAAATGCCTGGCTTTTATTATTCTAGACTACGGGCCATGATGTTATAAGATAACCTACTTTGGTTTATTTTTAACCATCTTAAGGAACTGTGGGTTTTTCTTCTACTGTGACGGTTAGGTCCAACTGTGTTAAACTAGGCCGTGCTAGGTTTATTATTAGCAGATTGCGTAGGGCGTATTACTAAGCGTTATCGAGGTATTACGTCTCTTAATGGTAGATTCAATGCGTAGTAGGCTTAGATTAATATAAAGAAGTTATATTAATAGTTGGCAAGCTAAGATCTATAAAAGTGCTAATAAATGTATTCTATATACTAAGGGTAGCCGTATAGCTTAGTAGAGAGTGAATGTGATCCTAGTGTTAGATCTAATGGCATCGTAGGTGATCCATGGTGATCCATCCTTAGAGCGCAGTGATCAAAGTAATTCAATAGGAGAGGATTGTTACAGGGCAGGTGATCATGTAATTAGAGGAAAATATAGGAGCCACGTGACATAGGCGCGGGATTATAATATATATTTAAAGCTATGTTTGATAAAAGTAAAAAGTATTAAATTAAAGAAAAAAGAGGTAATAAAATATAAAAAGTATCATGAATAATTAATTAAATAGATATTAATATATAAGATAACGCCTTGTTTATATACACTCTCACGTACTGTGAGCACCTGCCCGAATTCATTGAATAGTCTTAATAGCCGCTTGTAACTTGGTAGCTTGCTCTAATCTATTAATTTTGAGACAGACGCTCGCTACTCACGACCGACTCGGGATCTCAGAAACCGTCCCTGAGCAACCATATCCTGATCCGTCGGCATAGATCTAACAGATGACGTAAGACCAGGTTTCAGCTACCTACAACCGATTTCTATTTAGGAATGTGGCAGTTAAAGGAACATGCTCCCGCACGGCGCGAAAACAATGCATAAGTACGATAAATCCTTCAAGCAGTGGAGAACCCTTGTACGCCACAGTGTTCATACTGCTTCCTTTTTGCAGTTTTTGGCTGGTTATACGGCTGAAGGGACGTCACAAGTGGAGATACTGCAAGGGTATCTTGATTTGTACGGTGTCATTACCCTGCATTTTCCTGGCCACAGTGACATCTCGCACTGGCCTCGGCTCCTACAGTGGCCAATCTGCGGCTAAGGAACTTTTGGACGAGGCACGGCCCGTGCATTAGTGTTGGCGCGTCGGCTTGTCAGCCATGCAGTAAGCAATGAGCCGTTCTTGGTGAGGCAATCATAAGTACCTGATCTTGTATCTGGATTGGAAGCCGTAAGCAGTTCAGTTAGGTTCAAATTGAGGGTAAAGTCGCTGGGCGAAAGTGGTGACTCGCCAATCAGTCTAGGCCGACGAATTCTATACCTACAAATTGACGACTAACATAGTCGACATCAACATGTCGGTTCTTGGATCACAGTCAGGTCTTTCCGAACAAACGTTATCGGATGCAGATGACAGCAATGTCCCAATGCAGCTTCTGATGGAGACTATAGATAGACGAAAGGCACAGAACCGCATCGCCCAGAGAAAGCATAGTCAGTCCCCTCCAACTTTTCCGAGCCAACCTCACAGCATCGCTCTCATCCGTCCATGTTCTCGTCAATCCATGTGTGAATAAAATGATTGAGTAATAAAAAAAATAGGACAAAAGCTCAAGAAACGTATCGAGGAACTGGAGTTGCAACTGGAGTACGCGAATTTCAACTACCGACCAATCGTTCAAAAAACAACACCTCACCCTATACCAATGGCTGTACCGTCGTATTCGAATTCAACGGAGGAAAACATATTACCCCATCTTGACCACATCGAGAATCTCTTTACAAAATCTAACGGTCAATTGGGAAGCTTTTGGAATGCCCAAGAACATAGCTCATTGTCTGGGGTCTCGCCTCCACTTGGTCACATCACAACGCCTTTCCCCGTCGCAGCCATCTCACCATTGCAAATTCGGAACCTGACAGGCAATAGTGAGTTGCATAGTCTCTAAATTCTGATGGTGTTCGGTTTCTGTGAAGGCTGGGCCATGGCTAATGTTCGCGGCTTCTACTTCCAGCCTTGGATCAGGATAGTTCCGTTAACAGAGGTTTCACCTACACCTCAGCTCGCCGTGGTATAGAACCACCGACACCTTCTTTCTTGATGACACCAACTACCGAAATTAACGAGATTCTCGCGGTACCTGATGTGAGTCGCAGGTCTTCATTGCACCCGATGAGTGACGCGGCAGAACTTGATGACCCAGCTACTCCTCCTTGCTCATGGAACATGGAGCGCAAAATCGCCTACATTGTCGATTGCGCTAAGATGCTCGGGTTTCGCGACTTCGACTCAGTCGTAACGACCTATTACACCAACTCGTTTGAAGTTATATCCCGAGCTCATGATATGCAGAGAGTTAGCAGGATTCGTGGCCTCGGTTCTGTCCTTCGGACCATTGATGCCAGCGCCGAGACCTGGCCACATCACGAGAGCCAAATCTATCAAGCCGAGATTTTTAAAGCCGCCGAGCACCATTACAGGGCTGAGTTTCAGAGAGCCATTGACAGCGGAGCGCTGATGGTTCTAGAAGAGCGTCAGAGACTGAAGGAGGATGAAATGAATAGGCCGGCGGTTAAGCTTACGTCTCATAAGAGTGAACTCCTGTCACAGGTGAGTCCACGCTTTGATTTCAGAGTCCAAAGAAGAATTACAGCTAATGAAATTGGTAATCGGAACTCAGCTTCCAAACCTTTGGACGTTCCTATTGGAGCTTTCGGAATGCAACCCTCCAACGTCCTTTAACGCGCTCCTACATTACTATTTATCCTATCAGAAAGACGTAGCTGCCGACCAAAGGATATAATGAATCCGGTATCTGAGAGAGAACATCACCTATTTGATCCTTGTCTATAGATCTTGTATATAAAAGACTGTCACTGGCGCCTGGGTCTATTGACTGATAGTGAAAGCTTATGATATGTCCACGAGATATATCAAGCCAACAAAATGAAAAATTACAAATTCAAGCAAATCAAAAATAGACACTAGAATTTACTGATATTTATATTTATATTTAAAGTTAATGAAAGCTCTACCAAAGACTATCCTTCTGCTTGTGCTTCTGAAGCAGGCAGTGATCACGTATACTCGGTTTGCTCCTCCCCGTCATACAGTATGGCAACTGAATAATATAGTGTAGCTACCATCTTAGACCTTCATGCCATCCCCATTAGCAAGACGTGCGGCGCAGATACCGTGGCGAGCAGTCATACCCTCGTCAGCAGCCTTCGCAGCGCAAATTCCATGCTTGGCATTAATGCCATCTTCAGCAGTGCGGGCAGCGCAAATGCCGTGGTGAGCCTTGAAACCGTCTTCAATAGACTTGGCAGCACAGATACCGTGGTAGGCCTTCATACCTTCTGCAGCTTTTGCAGCGCAGATGCCATGACGAGCAGTCATTCCTTCGTCAGCGGCTTTGGCGGCGCAAATACCGTGGCGAGCGTTGATACCATCCTCGGAAGCTTTAACAGCACAGATGCCGTGGCGTGCCGTGAAACCATGGTCGGCCTTTGCTGCGCAGATACCATGACGAGCTGTCATACCGTCATCAGCCGCTTTGGCGGCACAGATGCCGTGACGAGAGGTAACTCCGTCAGCACTGGCCTTTGCAGCGCAAATACCATGCTGAGCCTTCAAACCATCCTCAGCAGATTTGGCAGCACAGATACCATGACGAGAGTTAACACCATCACTGGCCTTTGCTGCGCAAATACCGTGACGGGCCTCGAAGCCGTTCTCAGCTTTAGCTGCACAGATACCGTGTAGTGCTTTGACGCCGTCGTTCATCTTGGCTGCGCAGATACCATGGCGAGCGGTGACCCCATCATCGGCAGCCTTTGCGGCACAGATCCCATGTCGAGCCTCGACTCCACTCTCCGCTTTGGCCGCACAGATTCCATGGCGAGCTGTGACACCATCATCGACACCCATTGCAGCGCAGATGCCATGGTGAGCAACAACGTCCTCGCCCTCCTTCTTGCTGAAAGTCCAGGCGGCTTGGAATGCGTCAAAACCCTGTGGACCAATAACCTTGGAGCCGATAAGACCTGTAGAAGGAATGACGATGCTGCTGCGGCCATATGTCACCTCCATGGTCTCGTTATCAGGGTCGCCGGCCTCATACAGGCTAACGCCCAGAACCTCATCGAGGCCTGTCTCTTGCAGCACGCCGATAAGCTCTTTGACAAAGGCCGCTGGGAAGACGGGCCGGTCGACGTTTGAGAGATCACGCTGTGGCACGAACTTGAACTCCGTGGGCTTAAGTTCGCCATCGAAGACGCGCCAGGTGTGAGGGAGGACTGAGCCGCCCGTCACGACTTCGTCATCACCTACAACCCAGGGTGATGAGACTGGGCCAAGCTCGATGATCTTCTCGTTGGGGGCAACGTCGTAGTGTCGGTGGAGAAGACCAACGCCGAATACTTTGTCGACGCCGTGCTTCATGAAGACGTCTCTGATGCAGGACTTCATGTGATCCAGGCCATTGAGTTCCTGGAGTCGCTGGGCGGCCACGTCGACGTCAGTCATGGCATCAACGGCGCGGTGGTCGTATGACGCGGGAGTGTAAGTCTGGACTGCTGCAGCTGCCATGTTGTAAATGAGAATTGAGAAATTGTAGTGTGTCTTGTTCAAGAAGAGAGAAGCTTGAGAGATTGAATGTTGTTTGAGTTGTTAAGATGTTTGGTCCTTTCTATCGTCTTTATAGTTGCGTCCATACTGCCTCTTGACTCAACCATGTAGGTGCCCTCGTGTTGGATAGTTCAGGAGATGAAGATCATTTCTGGACATGGTGATACAGGCTGGATGCTGCACAGTCATCTTACTCACTCACGCAGCTGCTGTAATCAGGGTTCGTGTTTTGGACCGACGGGATAGCATTTGGAAAAACCATGTGTAGTTCGGTCGTTGAAACAGGCCGTGACTAAGATGACTACAGCGCTGAGATGGAGAGAAAATCATTGCTAAATCTGGGGTCAATCATTTCCAGATTTGGGCATGTTATCTTGGCGGGGAGGCGGGTTGCCACAAGGATCTGCGTGATAGGTAACCGAGGTTACATTCTGCGCCAAAGTGTAATGCTTCCCCGTATTCCAGAGCGGCTAGTCCATTTCCTCGTGACAGCCTGGACGTCCAAGTCCGTGAAGCGATGATGCTGGTCTCCCCGACTGTGCAAACGGAGTCGCTCAATTATTCACGCTGTCGCGCCGAGCATGTCAATCCGTTCAAGCCCCGTTGGCTCAGTGGTAAAGCGTATCACTAGTAATAGACACGACATGATAAGATCACTGGTTCGATTCCAGTACGGGGCAAATGGCATTGTTTTTGCTGAGGCGAGCTAGGAACGACTGGATTGTTTTTTTTATGTATTGGCTTGACATATCTTCCTAGGATATCTATTTATTGTAGCTCCAGAAATCCACCATTTAATCAATGGTGTAAAATACACGTTTAGCAGCCTCGCGAGGATAAAGACCAAAGTCGACGCTACGCTTCGGTTGGGCAAGACTCTGTAGACATGCCAGTAAGAAGCAGGACCGCAGTAAGGGCATAGAGAACCGAAGCAACAAAGAACGGCAGGCTCACAGCCATACCCCCAATATCTAAGCCGACTGAGAACGACAGTCCGAGGAGTGGCGAGGCGCCAATGGTTGAGATACCCTCGAACACGGCGATTGCAGTGAACAAGAGTGACAGATGATCTGGATGTACCATGGTTGTCAGGAGAGATCGCAAGGCGGATGAAAAGCCATTGCCAAGCGTGTATCCAAAGAAGGCTATTGATCAGTTAGTTCCCAGAATGTGACTGATCTCGCTGACTCTCTACATACCAATTATAAACGCCGGAACAGCAGTGGCGAGGCCCATGCAGAGTGAACCAACAACAAGGAAGAGAATTGACACTCGAGTAAGTGCGAGATTTGCAGCAGAAGATGTCTTCATTCTGTTGATGAGCCAAACATTGACTTGCGGTAGGACCACAGCAAAGAGCAGAATCTGGCCTGCGGCTTGGATCGAGAGCAAGAACGCCGTCTAAAACACAGTATTAGTGATCGCAGGAGAGGAAAAGGGAGACATTTGCTAGCTTCCTAGTCATGAAGAATACGCACCTTGGCCAGCGGCCATCCAAATCTCACAGACATGTATTGCAAGATCAGTTCTAGCATGGGTCGAGCCATCTTTGCAACAACCAGCGCTAGGAGGCCGACTAGGAGACTCTTATGACTGCCTAAAGTATGAACACCTTGTCGGATGTTGTCCGAAAGATGTGATAGAGTCCGTAGAATCTTAACCTTTGACGAATTTTGATTAGTTGTTTCGTCATTGGCTGATTGGTTCTCGTCTCCCTCCGTGCCCTCTACGTCGCTTGGGACGTTGTCAGAAGACCTTGTGTTGGGTATAAAGCCCAAAACCACGAATGCTAGAGCTTCAAGTGGGACGGCTGTGAGGAAAGCAAAATGCGGTCCTAATGCCTTCATGAGAACTGCACCGAGTGGTGGCGCAATTAGCTCAGTTATGAGAAGGACAACCTGTACCCAGAAAAAAGCCCGTGTCCTATGAGATGGAGGTCAGTGACTAGTTCAGAGAAACCAAAGAATGCTGTTCTTTGAGCACAAGAGAGGGTTGTGTACATACCGTGATGCTTCCGGAATAGCAGCCGCAATGATGGCCATGATCATGGGACTGATGACGGTAGAGCCGCCTCCCAGCACCAAGAAAGCCGGTGCAGCATAGACAGCACGGATAGAAAATATTTGATGAAAGTAAAGTACAGTAAAAGCCCAAATGTCTCTCAGAACAAAGCCCAGCAGACTAAGGCCCGTGACCAAGCGACGGCCCTTACTATCGGCCAGGACGCCATAAGGAATAGCTAGTATGAGACCTGGGATACCCTCAATCATGCCGAGAATACCTCTCATCTTAGCAAGAGCGCTTTGAATCTCATGAACCTTGCAAAGATGCTCGGGAACGGAGCCATCGTGGCCGATGACGCTTGGGTCAGTGATGGCGTAGTAGTCGCGGCATAGACCAAGCTCAAGCATGCGCAGCTTTGGCACTTCACTTAGGAAGTTGGGGACGTCGACGAGCAGGATGAAAAGACTGCAGACATACAGAGCTGACCACTGGGAAAGGTGACGCCGCCATCCCGCCCGCCACTCATCGGCCCTGTTCTTTTTAGGAGGGCTTCTGTTTGGAGCGTCGCAATTGAGGTTGGGCTGTAGGAGCGGTGTCGATTCGGTGACACCGTGCTGAACGTTCTCCATGGCGCAGACCGGCTACAGAAATGTTCTCTCATACAGACGATGTCGACTGCAATTGAAGCACGACAGATGCTGGCTCTGCGGGGAGAATAGTGTTTGTTCAGTGTTAGCTAGGCTGGTTATTGGTAGGCAAACAACAGCTGAACGTGTTTCGCAAGGATGGGGCCAACATTAGGCGACGAGCCGAAGCCGCAGCTTGTAATGAATGTGACGTAGTATTCTCGTATCCAGCTGCAATGCAATGCAAAAGCACAGTAATCTGAGTCAAAGCAAAACAAAACGCAGTTGTACAGTATTGTGTTGGTCGTCCTTGATTTTCACGGCGGGAAGGGAGAAGAGGTTGGCGATCCCTACTACTACAAGGAGGCTAGGGACTTTTGGCAGGATTTGGTGGCGTGTTTGCGGTGCCTTATCTGTCGCAGCAGGGAAGTGCAGTACAGTATGATACAGTGCAGTGCTGGGGCGAGCGGGGAAAACAGGGCACGGTAGGCAAGTATTCAACCAACATGCAGATCCCCATTCAGCTGTGCCGCACAATGCATGCAGTGTCAGTAGATAAAGAAAGCACCCGTGATAAACCCCGACTTCCAGGGCGAGAATCCTTTTTTACTTTCCCCGCAGACCTGGAGTATCAGTATCAGTTCAGTGGTCGTCACCACTGACACGAATGTACCATGTCATCTGTCGGCCCTTGTCTTAACGATGACTCGCTGGGGCCTGCTGTGCGCGGTTGTAGAGGCAACTTTGACTTCACTGTTGCCTTTGAAGATGTCGTCTTTGTCATTGTACCAGCTATTGCTTTCATCTGCCTTGGATTTCTCCGGATATCAAAACTTTGCCGTTGCCATCGCCCAATAGTCGGCCCCTCGGCATTTCAGTGGACGAAGCTGGTATGTATCTCCACTCTGGTCAATGCATCATCGTGTGTGAGTACATGTCACTAACAGAGGCTTTCTTCATCGTGGTGTAGGCTCTTGCAATAGGCTTGACTGTCTTGCAGCTTGTCCTCATCATTCTTGGACGGAACTCTTCCCAGTTCGCTTCAGGACGTTCTTTAGCTGCTGCCTCCCTTGCTTTCATCGCAGCCCTGCTTCTTATCCCACTGTCATGGATTGAGCATTCAAGAGCCCCGCGACCTTCAACGGCCATCGCTGCCTACCTTTCCGTCACGTTATTATTTGATGTTGCTCGGACACGGACAGCATGGCTTCTCATTCCATCGGGGCTCAACCCTAACTATGCATATTTATTAACAGCAGCCACTGCCCTCAAAGCTATCATGGTTTTCTTGGAATCACGGCAGAAAGAGAAATGGCTTGAGTGGGATATTAAGCAGCATAGCCCTGAGGAGACGAGTGGCATTTGGAATCTTGGCGTCTTCTTCTGGCTGAACACGTTGTTCATGAAGGGCTATCGTGTCATCCTGACGCTAGAGAGCCTGTATCCCCTCGACAAAGCACTTGAAGCTGAGACACACCACCATCTTGTTGAGAGAGTTCGCAATAATCCCTACAAGGGTCGGAAGTATGGTCTGGCACGTTTACTGCTGCGGATTCTAGCCCTCCAGTTATTACCACCAATCTTTCCCCGTGCAGCGCTCCTCGCTGCTAGCATATGCCAACCGTTTCTCATCCACGCCCTCTTGCACTACCTACAGAGCGAAGACCAAGACCAGAATCATGGATATGGACTCATTGGTGCGACAGCTCTAACATACGGGACCATTGCATTCTCAACAGCATTATACTGGTACTTCCAAGAGCGTTTCGTCATCATGGTGCGTGGCATTCTAGTGCTCGCCGTGTACGAGAAGACTACAGAGCTTAGAATGCCCGCGGATGGTGATTCTGGCGCCCTCACATTAATGAGCACCGACGTGGAGCGCATCACAAGAGGTGTTCTTGACCTCCATGAATACTGGGCCAACACTATCCAGATTGCTCTGTCTTGCTGGCTCCTCCAACGAGAGCTTGGCGCTGCATTTGCTGCCTCCCTTGGTGTAGTCGCCGTCTCAACGCTCACGGCGTTTGGGATAGGTAAGCTTCTTGGACCACGTCAAAAAGAATGGATGGAAGCAATCGAAACGAGAGTTGGTGTCACTGCGGCTGCTATTGCGCAGATGAAGCTCGTCAAGATGTCTGGCATGACAAAGCCAATTCAATCTTACGTACAGAGACTGCGAGTGAGAGAGATTGAGATTGGTGGGCGTTGGCGTATGCTCCTCGCTGCAGCAGCCACTGTCTCTCAGGTTCCCATGACCTTATCTCCCGTTATCACTTTTGCGGTGGCCACCAAGACGCTCAACACGACCTCGATATTCGTCTCCATTTCCTACCTTACCCTTCTCGCATCGCCTCTAATGATACTGTTTCAGAAAATTCCACAGTTTCTTGGGGCGCTAACTTGTCTTCAACGGGTCCAGGCGTATCTAGAGCGCGACCCAAGGTTTGAGTATCGCCATCTTGAAAATGGCATGGTGTCAGCCGCATCTGTGACTTCGTCTTCTCCTTCTGTAGCTGGCATGAGCGGTATGAGATTTGAGATGAAGACTTTAGAGAAGAAAGGAGCTCCTCACGTCGTGATCAAGAACGGCAGCTTTGGGTGGCACGAGAACGTTGCTGTTCTCAAGCATGTCAACATAACCATTCCATCATCACGTCTCACTGCTGTCGTTGGTCCTGTTGCAAGTGGGAAATCCACCTTATGCAAAGCCATTCTCGGCGAAGTCCCCTTTTCGACAGGCTCCACGGTTGTCTTCCGTTCCAGAGTCGTTGGCTACTGTGATCAACAGCCGTTCTTAACAAATACCACCATCCGTAACAACATCATTGGTCACAATCACTTTGACGACAAGCGATATACTTACATTATAAACGCTACTATGCTCGACCAAGACCTTACGAATCTCCCCCAGGGCGATAGCACAATGATCGGAAGTAGTGGCATCGCCTTGAGCGGCGGACAGCGGCAACGAGTGGCGATTGCGAGGGCGCTATACCTTATAGACGCCGAACTCCTGATCTTTGATGATGTACTCAGTGGTCTAGATGCCAGAACAACGGATCATGTTTTCCGGCATGTCTTTGGACGAGATGGTCTGCTTCGTCGTCGTGGTGCCACTGTTATTCTGTGCACACATAACCTTCGGCACTTTCAAGCTGCGGACCATGCCATCAGAATCAGCAGCACTGGAGATGTATTTGGAGAGAAGCCCACGGGTGAAGATGCCCGTCCAAATTCTGATCTAGGCTTCGATTCAGAGCCAGCTTCGACTGAAGCACTTGGAAGCACAGAAGAGCCAGCACGCTCCCTCTCATCACCAACTGTAGCCATGACTGCAGAAGAAGCAGAGGCACGAAAATTGGGTGACACGAGCGTCTTTGGCTATTACATACGCACAATTGGCCTAATTCCCATTATCGCCTTCGTTTTCGCTTGTGTATGCAACGGCTTCCTCAACAACTTCCCACGCATATGGCTCACATTCTGGGCTGACGATGCGGCCCGGCCACAAAGAGGCTTGGTACAAATGCACACTCAGGCCTACTACATCGGTATATACGCAATGCTTCAAATACTTGCTTTAGTATCATTCATGGCTGCGGTAGTTCTGGTTCTAGGACCCTTCATTCGCCTTAGTGGCTCGGTACTGCACCAGAGGGCGTTGGAAACCGTCATCAACGCACCGTTGCAACTCTTGACAACATCAGACACTGGCACTATTACCAACTACTTCTCCCAAGATATAACTATCATTGATAACGAGCTTCCTATGGCTGTGGCTAATGTGGTGCTGGATATTTTTGGTGTCATCGGCATGGGAGTACTTATTGCGTCGTCATCACCTTGGCTAGGACTTTCTTATCCGGCCATGATACTTATCTTATGGTTGATACAACGGTTTTACCTCCGAACGTCTCGACAGCTTCGGCTATTGGACCTCGAGGCCAAGAGTCCATTATACACCCATTTTCTCGACACTTCAAGAGGCATCGCCACCATTCGTGCGTTAGGCTGGATGGGAGAGAACATCAAACACAATCACCGACTGCTGAACCAGTCCCAGAGGCCGATGTATCTACTTTCAATGGTCCAGCGCTGGCTGTATCTGACTTTAAACGTGGTCGTTGCTGTCACAGCAACAGCTCTCGTAGGTTTAATAACCCAGCTTCGGTCTAGTTCAAGTCTTTCTGGTGCATCGCTAGTCACTTTGATGACGTTGAGTCAGTCCTTGAGTGACATTGTGCGATTCTATGCTGCGCTAGAGACTTCTATTGGAGCCGTAGCTCGGCTCCGGAATTTTACTACCAAGACTGGGACAGAACGTGTTTCGTATGATGATGGGGAACGTGATGAACGGTGGCCATCTAAGGGAAATGTTGAGGTTCGGGGAATTTGGGCGACGTATAAGTAAGTTTCTTGCTCAAGCTTTCTGGAGACGGAACCGGAAACGGTGACTTACAATTTGCCTTTAGTGGAGATGCTGAGGAATATGCGCTGCAAGGAATTGATGTCTCGATCCGAGCGGGCGAAAGGATAGCTTTGTGCGGTCGTACAGGAAGGTTTGTCTCAACATCACACAGATTTTGGAAAGCCATTTTGGCTAACTGAAGCGATGGTAGCGGAAAATCTTCTTTTATTCTCCTTCTTCTCGCTCTTCTGGAGCCCCTACAACAGGATGATGCCGAGTACACATTGTCCATTGACGGTGTTCCTCTCTCATCCATAAGTCCACAGACAATACGGGAAAGACTAATAAAAGTTCCCCAAGACCCAGTGTTCTTGCCCATAGGCAGCACTTTTATGGAGAATCTAGATCCACTGGGCTTAGCCACCATAGAGCAGTGTCGCGAAGTGCTGCAAGCAATGGACCTCTGGAACATGGTGGAGGCCCAGGGTGGACTTGGCGGTGTTCTATCAGAATCCTCACTGAGTCAAGGCCAGAGGCAGGTCTTCAACATTGCACGAGCAGTGCTCAAGAGGAAGACGATGGGTAGTTCTGTACTCCTCTTGGATGAGTTCACCAGCTCGGTTGACGCTGATACCGAGCGGGACATGCTTGCGATAATTGACAGGGAGTTTGCGGGCTGTACTATCGTTATGGTAGCGCACCGGCTGCATATTGTGTCTGAATTTTGCGACAGAGTGCTTGTTCTGGATCGCGGAAGGATTGTAGAGGATGGTGACCCTCGGACACTGGCAAGGGTTGATGAAACGTGGTTTGCGAGTTTGTTGGCAGCTGTGGGATAGAATTCAAATTCAAGACCAGTCACTAAAAAAGACCATAAGCCCCGTTGTTGTTTTGTCAGTAGGATGAGCGAGTGTGTCGTGGTGGCATTTCGTTCCGCGGATTATGGGACTGAAGCTGAAGTCAACACCATGGACCTGAATTGAGAAGGTGGTGATGTTTCCCGTGGAGTGTTTGTCCATAGGTACGCGTCGTCAATTTCCCTGGCCTTGCTCCTAGCCCTTTCCTTTTACCGGTACATGATTGATCGAATGCCATTAACTATACGCCATACCCAGGTAGGCAGGTAGGTTTTGCTTGTCAGGTCCATCTGCCGGCGCTATGACCCAGCTAGTCCTTGCTAGTCAAAAGTTGGTCCCAGGAACCTATTGGAGATGCCATAACCAGCTAATTCCACTGATGTGAGCTTGAAAATGAGGATTGAAAAGACTTTGAGTGGGTGGAGGTTAGTCTCAGTAGTCTCGACAGCCTACTTCAGACGAGGAAAGCTGCGCCAAGATAGGCATGGTCAGGCCAGACTGTACAGTTCCTAACATGAGTAGTATCACGTCCCTATCAGCTGTGTTAATAGCGCAAAGTTTAACCTTATACAATGCCATACCTTGATAGCTATTGGAACAATGCCGGTGCTAGACGACACGTGCATCTGGGAAAGGACTCAATTCAGTATGCCATAGCTAACGGACTAACCTATTACTCAGACAAGGCCTCATTGCCTCCACTCCGAAGCAGAAGACTTCATTTATCACGGGTTGTTAAAGAGGATACGAGCCAGGTAGATGGTCACTGAAAACCAGATTATGGATCTTCGGCATCTTGCCGGCAAGAACGGCATGCGATTCTGCTCCCAAAGAGTCCGGGATGTGATCAACTCGAGACCCCCTCGCCTACTGCGGTGAGAATAAATCTCAGGGAACCGTTATAATAAACAGTGGCGGCGGTCGGCGCTTGTCAGAAAGCGCTTCATTGCAAGATAACCAAGTTACTCCGCAAAGAGAAGGCCCTAGGCCAAGACTTTACAGCGACGCATGTAAGTGGCCTTTACTATTAAATTAGTAAATATGACCTCTCACAGCTAGGTAGATATTCAATCCTACTGCTTCGCTACATAACTCTATAGTCATTCAGAGGATCGTGAATAGTAGCTAAATACGAGAGTAGCTGCATATACGGCTACCGATCTACCCGCCTGCTCGGCACAGTCTCCGATAGGGACCCGTGGGAGACGGCCTGCATCGTATCCCGGCAATACAAGGACCACCTAAGGATGCCGACGACCTTTCAGTCAGTATAGAAGAGAAAATTTAGTGTTACAATAGTGAGCTCGATGCAAGTTATATATAAACCCCAGTCTCATTCACTCTCAACGACCAAGCAAGCAGCAAGCTACTTTACATCAACTTCATTGTTCTCTGACCATCTTTATTATACAAAGCAAGCCTGTTTATCCTAGCTCTGCTGGCCGCTCGTGGGCCCATTACGGCCCTGACCATCTTGGTGAGCACAGCAACCTTCAGTGCCGGTGCCTTCTTCGTCGCTCTTCGCAACACCGCTCTCGATTGCCCTCGCCACTCTGCTACTAACGCCGCCTATGGTGTTGATATCCTGACTGATCTCGTCACCTTCATCGCCGCTGCTGGTGCCACTGCTGGAGCTACCTTTATCGGACTGACCAGTCCCACTCCCCGTAATTCCCCCGTTTTCCGTGTCGACGATGTTGATGTTGATTGGTATGAAAACGCAAACTCGCATCGACATGGGCTCAACAGAACTATTGACAATCCCGCCATTGTTGAGTGGCAGTTCAACCACACCTCACCTATCCAGAAGTACATCACATATGAGAAGGATGGTTATTTGCATAAGCGTCTTGATACTGGAGTCGACATTCCGGATTCGAGTGGAAAGAGAGCTTTATGCCGCGCCTACTACGATACGCGCTTCTGGTCTGACGACCTGCGCACTTGGGAGTACCGTACGACGCCGATGCTTCCGTTTGTAAGTACACAAAACTACCTCCCGCCTATCGAAATTGAGGCAGCTCACAACAAAAAGGAGCCGACATTGGCGAAGATCTTTTCTACCAGTTTGTAAATCGGGAGTGGAAGGCAGGATGTGTATGGTTCAGGGAAAACAAGGCAGCCACTGGTGGTATCTACGAGGCTTCTTTCGAGCTGGGTGCATCTTGTAGCCAAGAGAAGCCTGCCTATCTCAACTGTGGCAAAGCTACATATAACGTTGAGGTTGCCGGCTTTAACTTCTAGTTAAGGGATGGCCAGCATCGAAGATTGCTTCTGCCACAGCATAATCAATTATGGGAGACCAACAAGAACGGGACCGACGGCGCTCCACTGCGACACTTCAGGACTAATATATCATTCTTTATCCAAATTATCAAGTAGATAGAACACACTCACTAGCAATTTTATATACTGTTGCTTATCAGAATAGTTCACGCAGTTAATCGCAGTATCTATAAAGGATTCAGCCAGGGGAGGAGAGCAGATGTTGAATTTCTTTGTAAGTACGAGTTTAATACTGCCTGAGTCAGGCGACTGACGTTGTAATTCCGAATACGAAGGGCAATGATGTCAAGGTCAAGTGCGACGTGGCATCTAAGTTTAGGCAACTGGATTCTTCAAGTGGCATTAAACCTTGAGTGATTATCGATATTGTTTATCAACTTCAGTATACGAGGTAAGCTGCGCAGTAAGCACTAGCTGTGATGTCTATAAACATGAAATAACAGTCTTAAAAGATCTCAAGGATATGTGGCAACTCGTGGCTCAACATCTAATTATACATAATTTAATTTTTTATGTTCTTTAATATACTATTTTATAGTCCTCCTATATACATCCAAGATAAACAAGTTGACAGGGAAAAGTCAAGGCCAACGGTCAGATCAAGTCATCATCGAAAACGAAGAGCCCTTCTTTGCTCAGCCTTTGTAAAAACCCTCTCATACTATGCCTCGGCAACCATTCCTCCAACATTCATACGTCTCGACTTCGGTTCCTCAAAGGGGCCTCATCAGGTGCCTTTAAATAGACACGCTTCCAATCTTCTGGTTTTTGTCGTTGAAGATATGGAGGGCTTTTGCAACAACAAGATTGCCCAGTTCAATACCAGCAGTGCTTACAACGCTCACAGCAGTACCGCTAGCATCCAGACCTAGGTCAATGACACCAGATACTACTTTAGTGCTGAAGTCAAAAATTGCATTCTGTGCGGTCTTGAAAGGATTTGCGCCATTCTCGAAGTGTGTAGCGACAATGGGGCCATTGGTCTTGACGTTGGTGAGTTTATCAAAGAAGGCGTTGATACCCTCATGGTTGCCTGGGAGCTGATTGATCACGTAGTCGATGACGATGATGCCCAGGACTCTGCCAGCTCCATTCACAACGTGGATCTTGAAAAATGAGTCGATGGCTCTCTTAGATATGCCTGAAGCTGCTTCGTCACTCAAGTCACGAGGAATGATCGCAACTTCGTTTGTCTCAGCGTTGGCGTTTTCATGATCCCCGGGTACGCCCAGGGCAGGAAGGGGGTTGATGACATCGTCGTTGGATGGAGAAATGTCGGAGGATGGTACAGGCGAGGCTGTAACGCCTGCAATGGTAGCGAGGCCGAGAAGGATGGGACCAAGAGAGAACTTCATGGTGAGAAGGATGTTAGAGGTAGACGGTGGAGAGTTAAAGAGAGAAATAAAGATCTATTGAATAACTTGTGAATGTGATGAGGAGATAGAGAATGGAAAGGAACGAGTTGTTAGCCTATTTATATGCAAACACAGTCGAGATCACGGTGCTATTCCTTACCATGTCACTGAATACTCAGTAAAGCTTCATCTTTGAAGGAAGGACTGGCAAGCAGGCATGCAATTGCGCCATTGTAGGGGTAAGATGAAGGACAGACTGGAATACGAGAATTCTAGTCCTATATTCATCTGAAACACCAGCTAAGATAGTAGGTTGAGTAATAAACTATTAGAGGTAAATGTCAAACCTAAATTCTAAACCTTACTAGTACTAGCACCTTTCTCGGCCTTACCATAGATACAGTTCAAGAGCCAGATCTAGTTCGGCAATCACGGCACAGATGCATTTAAAGTTCCAATAGCTGTAAGCCAAACATCGCCTTATTGCTTAAAATGACATAGTCAAGCCGTATTGACCACGCCAGCTCCGGTCAACCTTCCCAAAACATAGTAGTTTACTTCGTCGTATAGACAAAAGGCCTGTCAAGGATATATCCTTAGTTGTCAGTTCTCGTATCTCGTGGCGAGGCTCGGCAGATGCAACCCTGTCACAACATGCACAGCTGTATATAATTGGCTACAAGCTATATATGTCTTTCTCACTACGATGAGGTATCTATCTTTTAACACATCTGCCGAACTATGGCAATCACGACTGTTCGTCTGACACATTTGCCGAGTAATCTAAGTTCCATTGTTAACCCTCAGCCACACGTTTCAACTGTAAATAACACATCTAGCTCACAATTCAGACGTAATTATCTGGCGCACCTATCATAAGCTGAAGCTTGCTGAAGCCGACAGCGCGAATCAAGGATGAATATGCAACAACGTGCCCGATCTACGAGGGAAGTTGAAGTAATGCGTGCGACGTAGATATTATCTAACAGCTGTCGGGTTTATTAACTCAAATTGACAGTCCCAGAGACGCCCAGGGTCGAGAGTGCTTGGTATATCTCCACCCGTGACTGTGTTTGTTTTCTGAGTTATTTGACAACTCATTGCTTAGCCTTTTGCTTTAGTTTCTTTCCTCCTGGCTTCTTTCCTCCTGGTTCCTTTTTCTCTGTCTAAAGTCTCCTTATACCAGCAATTGTAGCTATAGATGTCATACTGTTGTCAAGAGCCTCATACTGTTGATTATCAGAACTCAAGCATTTGACGCCCATATTTGCCTGTCTCACTGGGATATTTGTCGATTTCACTTTCAGCAAGCTGTTTACCAAGTCAGGCTTTATTTACGTGCCTAACTTATACCCATACCTCTCTTGGCCGCTGGCTTCAACTTTCACAGCTACTTTGCTCAACAAGGATCCGGAGTTGAGTACGGTCGGGGCATCGGTGTAGCACATGGGAGTTATCGGTTGGGTATAAATGTACCGAGAGACGTGGCGTCAGTAGAGAGTGGAGAACCGAATTCGATGATTATCTCCTTTTACACTGATAGTGCAACTGCGGCCGGGTCAGCCAGAAGGTAGGGTGCCATAGGAGCCATGACTTCTTTAGATGCAAAGAAGCGGCTTGGCTTGATTTACGCGGCCGAAGCCATGTTGGTATGACAATGTCTGTGAAATAGCTATTGCTGCTTTCGTAAGGAATATCTCTAGAGTTGTTGGCGGAGGAATGATGATCTCTTTCCAATCATGTGCTGGGTTACTCTGGCTGTCGTCATTCCAGTTGTTTCATTGACCAGCATAGCTTTGATCATTGCTGATAGAATACATATTCATGCATTGCTTAGGGCTTTGTGTATCACGGCACATCTGCCCGCCACAAGCGGCATAGCCGTGCTCGTGCCCTGTTGGAAGAAGGATAGATCGTTTGGCGATGTGTTGTCCGGTGGAGTTCAGAGACAATCGAATGGCTTTTCTGCTCCATCTCCAATCTCTGTAGCCTGCCTAAACTTGGCAGAGTAGATACAATGTTCAGGAGCAACGAGGTTTCGCTTGTAGCGGCTGTTGCTGCCTGTATCCAAACTATCTTTAGTTGGTCCCACGCTGCTGAAGAACCCAATATGGTTTGTATTTCTTCCAGGCTGTCCCATGGTATATCGGCTGACGGGTGCTTGACTCGGATTATAGTCGGGGGGCCGGGAGGGTTCACAAGAACAAACAGTGATGCAGCTTTTGCAGGACGCCTGACTTCCGATTTGTCCTCCAAGCGTTGCATGGTGACTATTTTTTTCCGACGATGAATAGAATGGTGAGGTCACAATTTTCCAGGCTGCCTAATAAAATGATATGATATAAGACCAGGAGATGACATTTAAAAACTAAGGAGCCATGCAAGGTAGCATGAACATGGCAAGCACAAACGGCATAGCCACGAAACGTCAGGCCAGTCACTCGTTAAGATTCCCGTATTGCGTGGCTACTGCAGCTAAGTACCACCCTTGGCAGGCTGCATCGAATCTGGTAGATTCCCAGAATGGCGTGTTGCCATGGCAAACGAAACAGTTCGAGAGCCTGTCGAGAAGTCCAGCGATGAGACCAGTGCCTAACGTGGACTGAAGCATTAGGCTCGAGCCATCGATAAGGGAATGCCCGGCGTTAGGAGCAGTGAGTAAGGAAAGCACGTTATCTCCAAACATGAGTCGAACTCGTTTTTCTGCTTCAAACGGCGACAGCCACATTTGAGCTGATGACTTCATCGTAGTAGGGTTTGAGACGTAGCCCTGATTGAAGTGATGACCAGATGCATCAGGCAAGGAGTTGGTAGTTGAGACTTTAGCTGGTCGGACGGAATCCCGTAGGCGCCATCTCCGCTGCTCCAATTGCAGTGCAGACTCTCTACCATGGGCTTGGAATTCATGCCATTCGGCCAATCGCCAGTAAAGGCGACCTGCAAATGTGATCGTGTTGTCAGCTACAAAGGGTTGTGAGCCTGCGACAATCTTGTTGCAGTCAATACAGTGGAAAGGGTCCAAAGGCCTCGGGATCTCCAAGTTCGGCATGAGTTTCATCATACGCTCTCTGGCCTCGCGGCGCCGTGTTGCAGATGTGTCGGAATATGTCTGTCGCGTCTCTGGTAAGTTACTCTGGACAACTCCTAAAACTGGTACAATAGCTGAGCTGCTGGGTACTGAATCAATTTTTCGGGGTTCCCCATGGCTCAGTGATGCTGTCTGCTGAGGAGGTGTGGATTCTGGCGACTTTGCCTCACTAGCAGAAATCAGCTGGGCGGCCACTGCTGCTTGCCGAATCTTTCCCTGGAGCTCTGGGCGGTCGTCCTGCCTAACCTCAGTGAAGATGTCGGCGATAGCCGCCTTCATTGCAGCCATCTGAGCCTTCAGGTCATGCATCCCGCGGCGTTGTCTCTTTCGAAACTCGCTCTGTGCCAGGCGGTTTCGATCGCGCCGCCGCTAAGTCTTGATGATCAGCCATAGCGCGCTTGAAAATGGTGCCTGAAGTTGATTCTGGCGGAACTGCCGGGCAAACGCAGAAACATGATGAGCTGACCATACCTGTAATTCCACTGCGGCATCCTCCATTTCGCAGGCAAAGAGTCCTTGCTGCAAACTCTGGTTAAGTGGGTAATTCATGAGTAGCAGGAGAATTCTAGGGTTAGCGGGGTTGCTCTTTATCAAAGATTATGTCGTTTTACGTGATATTTGCGGCTGAGACACGTGGCTGAGAGCTTATATCAGCACACAGAACCCAGTTTTACGTGATACTACGTAATACTTAAGCTCGGGCCTCTTCTTGCGCGGGCGGACTTTGCTAGTGAATGCACTTAGTCAATCAGTTAGCTAACCCGGGGACTCATACCCGCATAACCGGCTGTGCGTTTAGTATTATGTGTTTTTCGCATAACCGGTTATGCAGATAAGGCTGAATGTCTGACTTTGGATTAAATGCATAACTGCTATTTAATAATAATACTATTTATAATTGAAATAGCTATTTAGTGGTATTTTTTGTCTTTATGACTGCTTATTACTTTATATTTTATATTATTAATCTGCTGCCTGGCCTCTATTTACTGCAAATAATATAGAAGTAATATAACCTTTTAATTAATAGGATTATATAAGAATAGTTATCTGCTTATAATATTAAGGATATAAAGAGAGCCTTATTATATTATAGATATAACTAATACTAATATATAGAAGCCCTCTTTATTGTGACTGTAATATAATTAACTTAATAGTATATGCCTTCTTCTTCTTGACTTAAATTAACGAAGGGAGATATTATATATAGGATATCTATTATTATGCCTTTAGTTATACTATAGAAATGATTCCTCTGTTACTCTTGATTTATATAGTAAGTATTTAATATAGCCGTAAATTAATTAGTAGATATATATATAAATTAAGAGATAAATTTCTTATCTTCTCTTCTTAATATAATATCTTCCTTTAAGATATTAAGTAATCTAATAAACCCCCTAGCTTATAATATCTTTATCTCTTTAATAATGGCTTTAAATAATAATAAGAATAATAACTTTAAGATCTTTGAGGATAATACTTAAACTGTCCCTTGCCTAGTCTCTTTGAATTAAAATAATTAGTTTATCCTGCAGCCTGCTATTACTGCAAATAACCTTCCTGGTTACTTAGGGACTAGGCAAGTAGTATATAAGGCAGTAGGCTTTTTTTAGCCTATCCCCTGACTTGTTCTTTATAGCTAAGAGAATCTAGGAGTATAATAGCTAGTATATAATATATTTAATACTAATAGTTAGATAGCCTAAAATGCTTCCCTAGGAGCTAATATAAATATAGGTCTCTTAATGCTGGCATAGCTTTATATGGCATATAATACTAGCTTTATTTCTGCTAGGGCTCTAGTAACTATAGCGATATAAAACCAGGGATATAGCATTAAGGGAAACTGGTATACTAGCTAGCTTTATAATATAGTTAACTAATAGTTAGCTTGACTAGTTTTTAATGCTATGTCTTTCTAGATAGCTTAAATACTATAATAGTAAGATGTAGTATATTAAGTAAGGCCTTTAATCCCTGTTATAATATGGCCTATGCCTGTAGTTAGAATAACTATATATGCACTGACTTTGCAGGTAGCCTAGTAGAATAGTATATATATTAATTTGGTTAATCTATAAGGGCATATTATATAGACTTAGATAGGCAGATAGTAGGGGGAATTAAGGATATTTAGGGTTACTTTCTTATATATATTTAGTAGTATATATGCTAGTTTAAATCTCTTATTATATTAATATTATCTGCTCTATTAAGGTTATAATCTGCTTAAAGAGAAATATATAATTCCTTTACTTAATCTATTTACTTATATATATATAATTTAATTCTCTATATCTAACCCTATACTATCTTCTTACTTACTAATAATATTAGAATTTAGTAGATTAAGGTATTAAGATATATATTAATTAATTTAACGTACACGATAAGCATGCCGATCAGACAAGCATGCCGATCAAAAATCTCAACCTTCTTTAAATAAATCGCAATAAAAGCACCATAAACCATCTAATTAATTGATTCTAGTTACTATACTCATCTCCAGAGGCCTCAATTCCCTCCTGACAGGTTCTT